GAGGTTCTCCACAAAATGAATATTTTTAAAACTAAATTTTTAAATTTAAATTTGTAAATATTTTTAAATTGAAAAGATAGCCCAGAGAGTGAGAGCTTAAAAATATGAGTGAATGCTCTAAATAGGTAAAACCCTAGAACGTGGGAACAAGGCAGACAGGCGTGCTAGGTTATCTGTACATTTTTGGGGGGAGGGGTTGGGTTTTTTACTTTTGTTGATTTATTTATCTTTGATGTTTTGATCTGTATATATGTTGACATCAAGACCCGGGGATCTCCTAACTTTCATGGAGAAAATTAGGTTTTTAAAAAGATAATACTTATAAATAATAAAGCACATTCACAACTATTAGCTCATTTGATCTCCCAAATAATCCTATGAAATAAGTTCAGGTGCTATTATTATTCCCATGTTATAGATAATGGAATGAGATTCAGTAAAAATAAACTGAAATACCGAAGGTCACAGAGCCAGTATACAGCTGACTTCTCCAAGACCAAATGTTATGCTTCATCCTTACCTATTGTATGGTCAGGCCATTCAACATGAGTGTGGGGTTCTTCTTTCCTTTTTTTTTTGGCTGTGCTGGGTCTTCACTGCCCTATGGGTTGTGGGGTCTTAGTTCCCTGACCAAGGATTGAACCCATGTTCCCTTTATTGAGAAGGTGAATTCTTAACCACTGGACCATGGGGAAGTCCCCCAAGGTGGCTGTTCTCTTGCTTTCTTTATATCAGCCAGTCCCTACTTTACTCACATGACTATCTAATCTTAATTATAGCACTTAAACGGTAACTGCCTATGTGTTTGCCCCTGACCCAGCACTAGTTTCCTTGGTAACTGATGAGCCAACCTGATGTCAATTCCCCCTATAAATGGTAGCCTCCTGAGCCGCCTATCCTGAGTAACGAAGATAGATGCCATGTCCTGCCTGCAGCCTGCCATGCACAGTGGGGGTGTAGTTCCAAGATATTTTGCTTCAGGTGTGTAAGACTCCCCTATTTAATAAACCATTGCTGTCTCTGTCTCTGGGCTCTTTCTTCAGTCTCAAGGCTGGGCAATTACAAGGCTTGCAGCCCAACCACCCTACAGTAGGCATTGAGACTAACATATAATGAATGTGCTGCTGCTGCTAAGTCACTTCAGTCATGTCCAACTCTGTGCGACCCCATAGACAGCAGCCCACCAGGTTCTGCTGTCACTGGGATTCTCCAGACAAGAACACTGAAGTGGGTTGCCATTTCCTTCTCCAATGCATGAAAGTGAAAAGTGAAAGTGAAGTCGCTCAGTCGTGTCTGACTTCACAACCCCATGGACTGCAGCCTACCAGGCTCCTCCATCTATAGGATTTTCCAGGCAAGAGTACTGGAGTGGGTTGCCATTGCCTTCTCCAATGGATGTGCTAATTTAATTAATGATTAATTCAACAAACATGTTTTAATGCCTATTAGGAGCCAGACCAAGGATAAATCCCTGCTCCCAAGGAACTTACAGTCTAATGGGAAAGCAGATATGTAAATAGAATTGTAAATGAAAAGTTTTATAAGAATATATGTGTGTGTGCTCGCTAAGTGGCTTCAGTCATGTTTGACTCTGACCCTATGAACTGTAGCCCGCTAGGCTCCTCTGTCCATGGGATTCTCCAAGCAAGAATACTGGAGTGGGTTGCCATGCCCTACTTGAGGGGATCTTCCCGACCCAGGGATCAAACCCATGTCTCTTACATCTCCTGCACTGGCATGTGGGTTCTTTATCACTACACCTGGGAAGCCCATAACGACATATATATAAGAAAAGAACATCTAAGTGTGTCCAGCAAATTAGACTGTGTTGTCCTAAAACAAGGGTGGCCAGCTGCCTGGAGTCTTTAGAAAGAAGTCAAACCGTAGCTTCCTAACAAGGTGTCTTTCACCAGCTCTGACTGAAGTGCCCAGTACTAGTTATCAAAAAAGGAAAAACAAACAAACAAACAGACTTCTAGTACAGAGAAAAGCAATTCATCCAGTTTCATAACCTGGTAGACATACCCAACATTTTTTGCTCAAATGCTGAGCTGACCAAACAACCTTTCAAATTGTACTTAGGAATGCTGGGTTGACGCACTCCAGCAAGAGCAAATAAACACACACTATAAATAACCTGATGCTATTTATCCTGCCAAAGCCCTCTTTTTGTTGTGAATTAATAGACGGTTGTTCTGGTCTAGAAAGCACCTGTGGCAGACCTATCATAGTCAATTTTTATACCAGTACCATCCAGTGGAACTTTCCATGATTATGTTCAAAAGGGTAGCTAGCCAAATGTGGCCATTAAGTGCTTAATACGGGGCAACTAAGGAAATGATTTATAGTATTATTTAATTTTAATTAATTTAAATAGCCATGTGTAGCTGGTGGTTACTGTCTTGGATGTCATAGCTTCAGATCCTTGGTACTCAAAACGTGCCCTGTGGATTAGCAGTGTCTGCATCAAAAAAAGTTATTAGCTTCTTAGAAACGCAGAATCTCAGACCCGACCCCAGACCTAAGGATTCAGAATCTGCATGTTAACAATATCCCCAGGTGATCTGTATGCACATTAAAATCTGAAAATGGCAAGGTTACTTCTGAATGACCTAAAAAAAAAATTTTTTTTTAAGGGATTGACCACCGTATCTGTGGTGACCTCTTCAAATTGCAGACACCCACATCTGAGGCCAGTGTCCAGCATAAAAGACCTTCTTTGTATCTGTCCCTCATCCATCCATAAACATGGAGAAGAGGGAAAGGAGAAAGCCTGGTACACTGGGTCTAAGGAAAGTTAATACATGATATGGGAATGGGGTGGAAAGCAAAAGAGTTTCTCAGTGATACCTCTACAAAATAAAATGATGAAATTCCCTTGATGATTATTAAATATGATGATGGATATATGGGCATTCATAGGACTATCTTCTTTGGTGTATGTTTGAAATTTTTCAAAATTGAAAAATAGATGTGATTTTTAGAGATGATGAATGTCATATTCAGCCTCCAAGAATGGCCTCCAAAGATCATCTCCTCCTGTATTCATACCTTTGTGTAGTCTCCTGCAAAAATGAATCGGGACTGGTCTTTGTAACCAAAGTGGAGGTGACCTAGCTCAGAAAGCTAGGTCATGGTGACTTCTGCCTTGTTCTCTCTTGGATCTCTTGCTCCGAGGGAAATTAGCTACCATGTTGTGAGGACACTCAATAGTCTCATGGAGAAGCCTTTATGGACAGAAGTCAAGCCCTCTGGCCAAGAGCCAGTCCATCATACAAGTGAGCCATGGAACTGAGCCTCGCAGAAGTTGATTCTCCAGCTCCAATCAAACCTTCCAGTGACTGTAGCTCCATTTGACTGCAACTACCAAGTCAGAACTGCCTTTCAAGCCACTCCTGAATCTCTGACCAACAGAAATTGTGAAAGACAATAAATGTATATTCTTATATTAAAACACTGAGTTTTGGGGTAATTTTTATGTTGCAATAAAGAATATAATGTGATTTCAAATTTTCCCACCCCCTCAATACCTTCCCTATCTTATCACTGATGCCTGAAATAAACAGGAAAGACCTTTTCACAGGGTGCATAGGGTTAACATGCTAATACCCCTTGAAGGCTGGGAGCCGAAAAATTGATGCTTTCGAACTGCAGCGCTGGAGAAGACTCTTGGGAGTCCTTTGGATTACAAGGAAATCAAACCAGTCAACCCTAAAGGAAATCAGCCCTGAATAACCATCGGAAGGACTGATGCTGAAGCTGAAGCTCCAACGCTTTGATGCAAAGAGCCCAATCATTGGAAAAGACCCTGATTCTGGGAAAGATTGAAAGCAAAAGGAGAAGGGAGCAGCAGAGGATTAGGTGGTTAGCATCACCAACTCAATGGACATGAATTTGAGCAAACTCTGGGAGATAGTGGAGGACAGAGGAGCCTTGTGTGCTGCAGTCCATGGGATCACAAAGAGTTGGCCACAACTTAGCAAATTAACAATAAAAACATAACCCCTTGAAGAGATAATACATTCCCTTACATTTATGGTAAAATATGTGACAGATATAAATTCTTTCCTTTTAAAACTCTTAGCAGGCTAATGTATTGAGACATTAATTTCAGTCTTGCTCTTGCTGTTGTAAGAAACTAGAAAGAATAGAAAAGTAAATTCTCCCTTAGGTTCTAGCATCTGAAGAACAGCTAAAGTTTTAATTATAAGATCTAGACTCTGCTAATATGCCCTTCTTCCCATGCCCAACCCTAAAACCCACACTGATTAACAGCTTCTTGGTGTTTCAGGGATTACCCTAAAGATGACAAGCCTCCCACCCCCTTCATTTTGAGGATTAGATAACAAGAAACTATGCTGGAATTGCCCCATGAAGGACGGAAAGAAATTATACTGGTTTAGGAAGACGGCACGTGGCCAGGCCTAAGGGAGGAATGAATGAGTTCCCCCAGGCTGGGAAAGATTTTTGATCTTCCAGAAACGGAAACTTTTCCCTGGCTTGTACGAATTCGGGTTGTGTGTGTGTGTGTGACAGAGAGCGAGAGATTTCTTCACAGGGTGTACCCCTACTCCTGCCCGTCCAGCTTGTAGGTTGCACAGCTGTACCCTTTCAGTGGTACCCCATGGGTCGTGGCATCAAGTCTGAAGAAAAGGCCCTTCTCCAAATCTTTCCCCAAAATGCTGGAACTTCACAACCCTAGCGAGAGGGGAGGGAGGACCTCGGAACGTGACTAATGAATTTCCCGCCAACACTGACAGCTGGGAGCTGAGCCAGATTTTTCTAATTTGTAAAATTAGAAGACATGTGACGCGTCTTGGCCTGGAGTCAACTGCAGCGAAGTCACTTCAGTTAGACCTACTTTTCCTGAGAGCGGTTTTGGTAAGTAGAAGGGTGCGGGGTGGGGGGATGAAGAGGATGGGCAAAGGTGGAAGAAGTAATAGGAAAACTAAGGGGCCAGACAGTTTTCTTCTCCAGGTCGGGACCTGTTCTAAGACAGAATGAGCAGCGCGCGGCCGCCCATCCGGCTCCGACACAAACACACGCACGTGCGCCCCGCCCCCGCCGCGCGCACGCGCCCCGAGCCTCGGCGGCGGCGACGGGCGCGCGCGCGCGGTGCTCGCTGCCCCCACGCCGCTCCCTGCGTTCTGATCGCTGCGTCTCCAGCTCCCCGCACCGCTGCGCGCCTGCCCCGCGGATCCGGAGACGGCGGCCGTGATCTGGGGGCTCCGACGGCTCGGCGCTGGGGCAGCGGAGCGGAGCCCGGCGCGTCCCAGGGAGGCGATGTGACCGGGAGCGGGCCCCTGCGTAAGGCGGGCGCCGCGGCAGGCCAGCCGGTGAGCTCTGCTGGGGGAGGCCGCGACGGAGCTCCCGGACCCGCCATGGGCTGAGACACTTCCTCGCCGAGCAGGTGCAGTGATCAGAGGTCCCGGGGGAAGCCCGCCTCAACAGGCCCCTTCAGCCAGGTTAGGACTCGCCCTCCCCAGCCTGTGCGGGGTCGGCCTTCCTTCAGCTCCTCCCCAACGGCTCTGCTGACCCCGCCTCCAGAGCTGGGCCCTGCAACCCCTCTGACCCCCAACAGCCCCTGACATCCGAGGAGATCCCGGCCCTCCACTCCTGTTACCCAAGCCTGGTAGGCCCTTGTGCTCACCTCCTCCTCGGTCCCGGTGTTTTGAGCCCACCGCCCGCACGGTACCTGGGAACAACTCAGCATCGCTTCCTTTCTCTTCTAGCCCTACGGGGGCTGGTGCGGGTTGGGTGGGGGGAGGAGAGCGGAAGGAGGGAGACTGGGTCTTTCCCCCCAGAGACCCTGGTGACCACAAACCTATACTCTCTCTTAAGCCTGTAGTGAGAGTGACCCTTCCTTACCCCACCAGAACATGCCCGGGTGACTTCCTCCCAGATCGTCCTTGTGGCCTTCCTCGCCCTCCGCAGTGACACTATGCAACCCCCACGAGACCTGCGAGGCCTCTGGCTCCTGCTGCTGTCCCTGTTCCTGCTCCTCTTTGAGGTGGCCAGAGCCGGCCGGCCGGTGGTGAGCTGTCCTGCCGCCTGCCTGTGCGCCAGCAACATCCTCAGCTGCTCCAAGCAGCAGCTGCCCAACGTGCCCCACTCCCTGCCCAGCTACACCGCCCACCTGGACCTCAGCCACAACAACCTGAGCCGCCTGCGGGCCGAGTGGACGCCCACGCGCCTGACCCACCTGCACTCCCTGCTGCTGAGCCACAACCACCTGAGTTTCATCTCCTCTGAGGCCTTCTCCCCGGTTCCCAACCTGCGCTACCTGGACCTCTCCTCCAACCAGCTGAGGACGCTGGATGAGTTCCTGTTCAGCGAGCTGCAGGTCCTGGAGGTGCTGCTGCTCTACAATAACCACATTATGGCAGTGGACCGCTGCGCCTTCGACGACATGACCCAGCTGCAGAAACTCTACTTGAGTCAGAACCAGATCTCCCGCTTCCCTCTGGAACTGGTCAAGGAAGGAGCCAAGCTCCCCAAACTAACGCTCCTGGACCTTTCCTCCAACAAGCTGAAGAACTTACCATTGCCTGACCTGCAGAAGCTGCCCGCCTGGATCAAGAATGGGCTGTACCTACACAACAACCCCCTGCACTGCGACTGCGAGCTCTACCAGCTCTTTTCCCACTGGCAGTACCGGCAGCTGAGCTCCGTGATGGACTTTCAGGAGGACCTGTACTGCATGAGCTCCAAGAAACTGCACAATGTCTTCAACCTGAGTTTCCTCAATTGCAGCGAGTACAGGGAGCGTGCCTGGGAGGCCCACCTGGGTGACTCCTTGACCATCAAGTGTGACACCAAGCAGCAGGGGATGACCAAGGTGTGGGTGACACCCAGCAATGAACGGGTGCTGGATGAGGTGGCCAACAGCACGGTGACCGTGTCCAAGGATGGCAGTCTTCATTTCCATCGGGTGCAGATCGAGCATGGGGGTGTGTATACCTGCTATGCCATGGGGGAGGCTTTCAATGAGACCCTGTCTGTGGAGTTGAAAGTGTACAATTTCACCTTGCACGGACACCATGACACCCTCAACACAGCCTATACCACCCTTGTGGGCTGTATCCTCAGTGTGGTCCTGGTCCTCATATACCTGTACCTCACCCCGTGCCGCTGCTGGTGCCGGGGTGTCGAGAAACCTTCCAGCCATCAGGCAGACAGCCTCAGTTCTTCCATGCTTAGTACCACACCCAACCACGACCCTATGGCTGGCGGGGACAAGGATGACGGTTTTGACCGGCGGGTGGCCTTCCTGGAACCTGCTGGACCTGCGCAGGGTCAAAACGGCAAGCTCAAGCCGGGCAACACCCTGCCAGTGCCTGAGGCGACAGGCAAGGGCCAGCGGAGGATGTCGGATCCAGAATCGGTCAGCTCGGTCTTCTCTGATACGCCCATTGTGGTGTGAGCAGAATGGGTTGGTGGGGAGATTCTGCCCCAGGAGAGGTAATGCGCCCTTGAAGGATGTGAGGGGATGGAAGAGAGGGCTAGCTGCCCAAGGGAGTGGGTTCCCCTCGAACTCAAGGGAATTGGCCACGGGTACAACAGCAGGCAAGACCCCAAGCAGGGTGTGGCTGCCATGATTTTCAAATGTGGATATACTAATCCTCAGGCAAATGTGACACCCCTTCCCAGAGCCCTGACAGTTCTCAAGGTGGTGGAAGAAGAGGGTGTCTGCTGGTGGGAATGAGGTAAGGGGTGAAAGAGCAGATCCCCTAAACTTTTTGAGGTCATCCCTAGCTTCTTCAGAGAAAATCATTCGGGAAAAAGAGTCACTTTTTTCCTTTCTCTGCCCACCCACACCTGTGATGTTGTGTGTACCGGAGGGAGCTTCCACAGGAGCCACGTTGGGGAAGAGCTAGATTGTCTTCCTTGGCCAGGAAGTCACGCGTCACAGCTGGGGAAATAGGAAAACTTTGGGAAAAGAAGTCAGGAAAAGGCTGGGACCTCAATAACATTCCCCAAAGCTGTTGTAAGACTTCCCAGGAACACCTTCCTCTTTCCAGAGGAGCCCTGGGTGCATGGGTCTTTTGTAGGAGCTTGGCCTGTTGCCTGTCAGATATGGCAACAGTATGAGACGCGGTATCTGTGTCTTCTCCTGGGACCAGTGGCGCAGAGGGGTACAGCATGAACCAAGGGGTCCCTGTGACAGTATAGATGCCAGCACAAAACCTGTAGATGGGGGATAAACTCCAGATTGGAACCGGTTGGTGAAACTCTTGGTTAGCATCTGATTCCCAGCACCCATGTAGCGGATCAAGGTATGGGGTGCTGGAAGCAGAGTGTCTGTGGATGCCTGCCACAGAGGTGGGATGAGGGCCTCTTTGCACGAGGAGGTGGAGGGTAAACCAGCCACTATTACGTAGCATCCAGCATCTAGCAGGATCTACCTGATTTTCTGTGTATGCCATCTCTTCATTCATTCTCCTGATAGGCTCAGGTAGAATTCTGAGTGTTCCCTAATATGCTGCTCTGCAAAAGAAGGGAGTCCAAGAAGTCTGGCCCCAGCTGGGTTAGCTTGGGCTCAGGGATGGAGGGGAACAGGCAGACATCTCCGTTGTGCTGACAAAGCCGCCTTGCTCCTCTCTTAGAGATCTCACCCCTGCTGCAGAGCTGGAGCATGGGATTCATCATCTGCGGAGCTGGAATCAAGTGGTCCCTGCCACAGAGGAATGGTGGTTTGGAGGGTGGCTTAGAGTTCTGCCCTCTCTGCAAGGTTCCAGGCAGTCTTGTAACAGAGACAGTCAGTGGCACTAAACTTTCAGAAGGAGACCCTCTCAGCCAGAGGTGTGCACAGTTGGCAGGCCAGAGGAACTTAAGAACAAGCCCAACATTCCATTCCATCAAAGTGACAGAATACTTTGGGCATAGAGGTGGCCACTTCCTTTGACTCTACTGCAGGCCCTGGGGGTTGGTGGCTCTGAGCTTTGGCAAGGGGACTTGAAGGGCAAAGGTGAAAATGTACTCTGACGTTGGTCTTCAGTCTGTCCCCTCTCTCTCACCAAGTCCCCGTCCTTGGAAGTTCTCCAGCTCTTCCAGTTTTCCGATCTGCTGTTTAGGTTCCAAGAAGTGTCATTTACCTGTGGGTGAAGGCTGCTTGCTAGGAGGTCCTAACTCCCCTGCCTGTTAAGATCCGAGGTGGGGACTGGAACTCAACATCTTCCCTTTGTCTGTTCCTGGGATGTCAAGACTGCTGTCCATCCGTTACTAGTAACCTAGCTTTGTCGAGAGAGGTGCAGCGTTTCCCTCAAGTACTTGCATGCTCATAGGGATGCATGCTTATAGGTCTGCATGCACCCCAGCACCTTGACTTCCATCAAGACAATTCTTCAGTCCCCACTAATGTCCACTTCCAGAGTGGTTTCTACTTATGTGCACAACTTCATGCACACAATTTTCTTGCCCTGTAGGAGAGACTGTGACCATGCCAGGCTCTGCAGATACGAACTTTTGTACTTTTGATTTCTGAACTGCCTAAATCTTCACCCACATCTCTGTGGCAGTCCATAAAGCCCAGAGTTAGGAAAGCTTCAGGTTGAAGACCTGGAGAGAAGCGTTGATGAGGAGCAAGCTGGCTCTTCAGACTCCTCAGAAATCTTCCTTAGAGTAATGGTATGTCAGAAATAAATGGAAAACTAGGTCAGTGACAGATCCAGAACACTGGCAGGGGACCAAGCAGCTGTAAGTTGTTCTTCCTATGTTAACTGCCTTAGTAAGCTAGGGGCAGGAGGGAAAAGTTGTGTGGTCATATTCCAGAGACTTCTAAAGATTCTGACACTGAAGTTACAGGAACCAGGACCCCCTCCTCAGACTTATCAGAAAATCTCACCTCCTGGCAGCAGCTTCCCCTCTAGGCATCATCGAGGGCTCTGAAAATCTTTTAAGTGGATGTCAGATGAAGTAGGTCCTCTGGACATCCTGAGTTCCCAAGGACTAGGAAGGCCATTTTCTTCCTAAGTCCTACCCAGTTTAGGGCATGAGGCTCTTAGTCTTCCCCACCAAGAGACTGAACTGATTGGCCTTTTCCCATGGTTTCAGTGACTAGAATCCAAAGGTTGCTTTCTACTTGAGGGATTAGGGACTCAGCAGATGTAAGCTCACTGGAACCCTGTGAAGGAAACTGCCAGGTCTGGTTATAAGAAAAGGTCAAGCGATCACCCCCACCCCCATCAGTCAACCAGACATGTCTCCCAGGAAGCAGGTGTCCCTGGAGACAGAGTGTGTCAGGGCTGTACAGTCTGTCTGTGTGATTGTTTTTGATCTTTCTTTCTTTCCGTGTATTTATGAGGCTCCTAGGAAGGAGCCAGGAGTGGGGAGACCCCAACTGAGGAGAGTGAAGACGACTGATTCCAGTTTTCCGTGTGTCCTTACCTCTGTACCTCCTTGTAGCCCTGCTGGCGAAGTGAGCAGGCCTCCCCATGTCCAGGATCCTAGTCCTTCCACTTGTGTACTCCCAGGCTGGCAAACCTTGGAGCCTCTGGGCTCTGAAAACTAGACAATGATCATTAAAACCTGGCTTGAGTCTCTTTTCTGGCGTAGTCTGTGACTGGTTTCTCTTTTCAGCCTGTGGGGAGGGTTCACAGTACCTCGGAAGGGTGCAACCTGTCTAGGGAGAGGATAGTTAAATGCTGTTACGAGGGTATGGGTAGAGTCCACGTCGAGGCATGAAGATAGACCAGGGGTCAGCCAGCCTTTTCTGTGAGGAGCCAGACGTGAAACATGTTAGACTTTGCAGCCCGTATAGTCTCTGTTACAGCTCCTCAGTGGTGCCGTTGTGGCAGGAAGGTATAGAAAGTGCACAAACAGTGGCTCTGTTCCAGTCAACTTTATTTATGGACATTGAAATGTGATTTTCATATCATTGTAACATGTATTTGAGGGTTTTTTTCCACCATATATAAATGCAAAAACTCTTACAGGCTCACAGACCACAAAAAAAACAGGCAGCAAGTTGGTTTTGGCCAGCAGACAAATTTGCCAACCCAATGTTCTCAAAAGAAATGTCATTGACACTTTAGCAGGAGAGAGTCTAGAAATTCCATGACTTGGGGCTAGAGACTGTAGCTAATGAGGGCTTTCTGGATCACTGGGGAGGAGGGTTGTCTCCCTCAAGAGCCCTCTTGAAAGTCTGGATCAAGCCTACAAACTGTACCGTGGAAAATGTTTGAATTGGGTTAAAAGAAATGATGGTGAGCAGCTTGGGTCCACAGTATTTTGATTATTACCAATATATGTTCATGTTGTGAGTGGTAACCATCTTAGTTTGGCTTAAAGTATATTAGTCTAATGGGCAGGTGAATATTCATTGACAGTGTAATGTGTCCTAGCATTGCATTGAACAGAGAAATGCAGTCCCCGCTTTTTTGTTATAGGAGACAGCCTATCATAAATTGGCCCAGATTCTACTGATCTCTGAATAGGCAGTTTCTTTGGCTATTCTCTTGGTACTTCTGGAAGGGTATGTCATGGTAGATTCCCAAAAGGGAGGGGAAGTGGTATAACAAAAAAAGAAATGAAAAGAATCAAAATTGGGGGAATTCCCTGGTGGTCCAGTGGTTAGGACTTGGCATTTTCACTGCCCAGGGCCTGCCTGGGTTCAATCCCTGGGTGGGAAACTAACATCCCTCAAGCCATGCAGTACGGCTGAAAAAAATAAAGAATCAGAATTTGAATAATTACCTCCTTTATTACACTGATAAAATCTTGACTGAAGGGCGGTCCTCTTCTGTCTGGAAAGTTGTCTTTCTTTTCATGAGGGAACAACTAAAGAGTGAGAGATGGAGACACCTCACAGCCAGTCACATCAGACATATCAACCTTGGCAGTCAATGAAATGACAGATGTTGATGCCAGGGCGCCCCCAGAATCTACATATATTTGGTATTTTTTAATCTTTTCAAAGCAGTTTTTGCTATGGCTGAGTTTAGCCCAGAGGACGAGCTGGTAAAGAGAACAGGTCTGGGGAAGAAGCCTACTGAAAATCCTCCCCTCTGTTTTGGCCTGTGTCAAGCCCTGTCTCTGCACCTAGGAAGTTTTGATACTCCTTTCTCTGTCATCCCAAGGCTACATCTCTTCAACCCTCCCCATCCCCCTAAGAAGTTCCATAAATTCTGGCCAAGATGTGCCATTTGGTCTGCCGTGTCTTGCGGCTCGTTCCCTAGCTCCTCTTAGGTGGTGCTGCGGGAGAACAGAAAAGGTTAATACGATGGTTATCTTCTAGAACAGAAAATGAGAGTTCAGTGGATTGGCCAGCCTGGTCTCTCTTCCATCTGATCTCTCAACTCCTTCCCTTTCTGCAGTTGTAACTCTTGGACCCCCTTATGTTGTCTCTGAAGCAACCACTGGAGAAGCTTCATTTGCCCCCACACTGCAGAAAAGACTCAAGCCCATTCAGGGGTACGGTCAGCTTGTTTGATCTGGCTACAGGGAGCCTACGCTGGATGCTTCCTCTCCCTGGGGTTGAGAGACGAAAGCTAAAAGCAGCTGCCACATCAGGCATATAGCCTGTTATGTGGAAAACATCAAGTGGTACAGATACTTAGACTTGCCCTGAGGCCTTCCAGTTGACATCAGCCTGGTTATAGTCCCAGAATCACAGCGGGTGTGGAGAGAACCAACCTTTCGGACATAGGACCCTGCAAGGACTTCTAGGTGCCTTACAGCACTAGCATACAGAAAGGAAGCGTCATTGACCCCAGAGTTGGAGGCTTGTATGTATATGTGTTTGCAAATACACAGGTTAGGGAGCACTGCAGCTGGATAGAACTTCATGCCGCTTTCCCTTCACTTCCCACTGCTCCTTCCTTTGGCCGTACCTTGCTTTAGGTGTAGACCTCAGCAGAAAGGTCTAGCCCAGTCCTGGGAATCCTTAGAAAGCACTGGGAGATAACGGGAAATCTGCCTGAAAGACAAGGGTGCTGGGGGGCCTCATGAATACTCAGTGAGACAGAGTTGAATCCTCTGATACCAGAGGATAGAATCACCTGAAGTAGCTACTTAAAATGCTTTCAAAAGAGGTTTTACAAAATCTAGGAAATTCTGATGAAGCAGGTAGAATTAAAACGGGGACTTATTCCCTGCACACTGGTGAGTTAGTCAAGGCTTCTGGGTGAGTGGGTGGGTAGGGAAAAGGTGGTCTTACTGGAGGGAATCTGCCTGCTTTAAGCTGAGGTGGAGACCATCTACGTTAAATCACCCTCCGGAGCAGTTCTGGGGCCCTGTCCTGCCTTTCAGCTGTGTCTTCCCTGTAGAAGACACTGGTGACAGTTGTTGAGGCTATGACCACAATGCCTGATCAGTGTTTCATTCCTGGATCCCAGGATGGTGGGGGGGGGGGGGGGTGGTGCGGAATACCCAAGATTAAAAAATACTGAAGCCTCTGTGCTACTATGGTGCCTGCCTCTCTGTGTCCACCTGAGGAAGACTGCTGACTATTCTCAGACCAATGGAATGGAAAGTATCCTCAAGTTAAACAAAACTGCTTTCATGGTGCATGTGCATGTTAATTTCAGTGATGTCCTTTGAGGAGGAAAGGACGGTGATCCTCCTCCGAGAGTCTGAAACAAGGAAGGGGAAACAAAGCTGTGAACAAGCCAGGGGCTGTGCCTCACAGCTTCCCACCTCCACCCTGGGTGAGGGCCTGAGGCAGCCTGTGGGGACGGGGGCAGCCAGAGAGTTGGTGTGGCAGTGTGGGTCCACTGCTGCTCCTCCCTTCCTGGCCTGTCCGCTCCACCTTTCCCTCCGAAGAGCAGGATTAGCCAGGAGAAACTTAGATAGACTTGCAACCAGGAGCTCCAGGCTGGACCTGGGGCATAACTGGACTGACTCCAGATCTGCAATCAGCCCCATGACTTGAACACATCAGCTGGCGGCAACTCAGGACAAGCTTCACTAGAGTCATAGCCTCCATAGCACTCCTGACGTTGCATCTAGGAGGAAATGTCTGTGTTCTCTGACGGTGGCCAGCAACACAACCTCTCTGAGACTTGGATCCCCTAAGCATCATTATCCATAACTATTTATTGCCTCCCTAAAAGAAGCATAAAACCCAGAGCCAGGAATGAGTAAGAAATAAGGACAGGAACATAATAAGCCACCTGTTTGCATGTGTTTACTACTTTGAACATCCCAATGCCTATTAACATGCATTCTGTCATCTGGTGCTCACAACATCCCTGTGAGATAGGTCATGCAGTAAGTGATTTGCCTGTGGCCACACCAGTGTCAGGGGCTGGGTAAACCCAGACTGCAAGTTTCCTAGCTCCCGGATCGATGTGCTTTTCACTTCATGATACATAGGCTCTTTATGCCAACCAGATGCAGGGGCAGCGGGAGCACTAAACCAGGAGCCTCCCTGCTCCCTAAGCCTGCAGAGAGTCATCAGAAATGCTGGGGGAGTCAGGGGTATCCCTGGAGGCCAAGACAGGTCAACAGAAGGCTAGGCAGGAGTACTAGAGATTCAAGGTCAACAACCACCAATGCCACCACCGGTGTCAACGAAGCATACACTGTGTCCTTTTGTCAGGTGAAAAGACCTGATTGGTTTACTCAGAGGATGCTCAGGGATGCTTCCAAGAGGAAAGGCTCAAACCATGGCTGGGAGGTAAGATTCCTGACCCCTCCTCCCTCTGCAGCCCAGGAAGAGGGGGAAGGTGAGGGCTGGCTGACTCAGTCTGCAAGTGCTTGGAGATCTGGAGCTGAAAGGCCCCAGCCCTGTTCAGTTAATGATTATTATTAACTCTGAGCAGACCTTGGCATAGCAGCCAGCTGGCTCTGGGAGAATGCCTGGATCTCCGACAGTGAGGTTTTAAAAACAAGACCCATGGCAGCCATGCCTGGTGTGATGGGGGAGGGGGGGAGGACAGGCTAGTGTCAGGGAGTGGGGAGGGGTGGGGGTGCCCTGTGAGAGGGTGGGGCTAGGAGGCGGCACAGCCTGGCAAGAGATACCTTTAATGCAGCTGAAAAGCCCAGGTGAGGCTGGGAGACTTCCCCACACAGAGCTCCTGCCATTCAACACCACCCCCAGTGGGGGGTGGGGGGTAGGGGAGTGGAGCTTGGAGGGGAAAGGGTGGGCAAGGGAAAGATGGGGGCTTGGGTGTGGTATCTGAATCCAGAATGGTAATCCTATTACCATCTGGATGTGGATACAAAAACCATCTATATTTCTAATGTCCTCAAGGTTGAGTTTGAATGTAATCATATTTGGAATCAGGACTTAGTGAGCCTGATATGCAAATTTGCGCAAATGACACGGAAATTTAAAAAAGTCTCGAGCACCCTGGCTTTTATTTTTAAAGGCAAAAGAGGCCGGCTACTAGCAGCTTTGCTCAGTCAGACAAGGGCAAAAGGGCAGCCATTCGTTTCTCCTTCAAGGCCTCTGCCTCATTTCTGAGGAGCCCAGATAATACCCCAGATGGAGAGACACTGGATGGTGCGGGGGGACAGAGGGTGCAGGGGGAGGAAACACAAGCAGGAGGCATATGCAGCCACCAGCCACCGAGATCCCAGCTGGAGGAAGAGTGCCTTGGCACTGAGGTCTAATGGCTGTCCAGCTGCTGCCCTAAGATGGGAGGGCAGGTGGTGATCGAAGGAGCAAGGAGGGGAGGGGAGGGAAGTCCCTCCACAATCCGGCCAGCTGGGAAGAAGGGCTCCTCCTGTGACCTCCTCCCAGTGCTGCAAGCAGAGACCACCTGTGCCCCCTTTTCTACCCTGTGCCCCTGCCCAACCCCACCCGGGGCCTACCGGTCAGAGAAGTGACAGCTGGGGCCCCTTCCTCCTGCAGCATATAAATGACTTCCCCCTTCCTCCCAGGGCTGGGAATAGACATCAGCTGGCACTGCCCACGCAAACTGCCGGCTGTCAGCCCGCCTGCCCGCCCACCATCCCCCGCACCACCTGGGAGGAGGCAACACCTCAGGCAGGCTCAGGCTCTCTGGTGTTGCCTGCTTGGCTCCCCAAGCAAGCTAACCCATCCTTCCTACCCTGCTAGAGACAGAGTGAGACTCCCAGCACTGACTGTATGGGCCAGCAGAGAGGGACTCCCTGGCCAGAATGACCCGAGGTAACAATCTCCTCCATGCAGTCCCAGTAGCCATCTCTCCCAAGGTCAGACCACAGTGGAGAGCTGGAAAGTGGAAAAAGGGCAATGAAAGAGACAGGAATAATCAGCAGGGGCCCCCTTGAGATGCCCAGGATCTGGGGTGCTCCTAGGAGATGCCATCTGACCCAGCACAGTCTGCTCTGAGGATCCTTCTGCCCCTGCCATACTCATGCCTGTCCTGTCGAATCATACTGAGCTCCCTGCTGCTGAGTCACCCAGGGAGGAGGTCTGGAATCTTCTAGAGGCCTGGGATATACAAACTATTGCTATCTAGGAACACCTCCCCCTGCCCCTGGGACCTCAAATTCTAGGCCCTACTCCACAGGTCTCCCAGAGTTCCCACTGAGCTCTCTCTACCTGCCTCAACACTGCTTTCCAGGCTCGGCCATTCTCAGTTTTCGCCATGACCTATGGAGGTCCCAATCCAATGGACAGAGGAGCCTGGCAGCATACAGTCCATGGGGTCGCAAGAGTCAGACACGACTTAGCAACTAAACCACCGCCAACCACCACAATGGAGGTCCCAACTCCTGAATGAGCCAGACCATAGTTAACCAATGTAACATCCAACTCTCACCAACGAGGGATGAGGGCAGTCTGCAGAACTACTTTCAGTCTGTAACAAGGAGGGGTCTAGGCAGGGAAGACAGCCCAGCCCTCATTTGCCAGCTGGCACCAGATTCAACCCCCTCCCGGGCCAAAGAGCTGGCAAGAGACGATACTGAAGGGAAGCTTAGCTGATGAAGGGAGAAGAACTAGGGAGACTGTTTTCTCTAGATCAGAAGTGCCCTGCCCCATTTCCTTGGCTTTTTCTTTGTTCTAAAAGCTTTGGAATAGCTCCAGGAAGCTATGTGCTAAGGCAAGGACCCAAGCCCTAAGAAGGGCAAAACACGAGATGCTCAGGACCGCTCTGCCACTGAGAATGGACATCCTCCAGCCCCAAGCCCAGATCCCAAGATTAGCTGAAGGAAGTTCTTAGCTGGGCTAAGACACCCAGCCAGGAGCCAAAGCCTGGTTAAGCCAATGCCTTTCTGCTCCTCCAGAAGTTTAAGGTGCCTCTTGGCCCTTACTGTCTTGGTGTTCTGGAGACCTTCACCTGGGCCCTTCTCTCCACAGCCCCTGATGCTTTGTCAGGGGCCAAATCAGCACAGGTTCTTGGAAAGCCAGGAGACCATATTGGTCCCTCTTAGAGTGGTAAGGAGACAATGAATGTGAGAATTACACCCTGAGTCTGATGGGTGGTCCAGCCATGGTTCAGGGCCGGGAAGGTGCTCTGTGACATCAACTTGACAGACACTGAATGCTGGGAGAGATTGTTTAGAAACAATCGACCATATCGCCCATTACAGAGATGAGGAAACTGAGTCCCTGAGACACTGGACTCACATAAGTTTGCACAACAGAGCCTATAAGGACCATACCCATTAAAAAAAAAGTACATTGGCTCTCTCCACTACACTGCTTTCTCAAAGTGACCCAAAGAGCTGCTGCCACTCATAAGTTACAGGAATCCAATTTTTCATTAGGCATGCAAGCAAGAAATGACTGCCAGCACCATCAGCACCACCCAACACTCTCTCCCATCAAGAGTAGAGGCTTCAGGATCAAGCTCCCCATCACCTGTCACTTGTGCCCCATCCATTTCCCCATTTTGGCCCACTGAGTCATCTGTCAGCAATGGCAGCTTGGGTTTCTGCAGCCTCCACCCCAGCTAAGACATACAAAAACCCCACCCCTTCTGAAGTGGATCCCTGAAGGTCACTAAAGGAGCCAGTGAAGTCCAAGTCAAGTGTCCCATTTCAATTCAGAGTTTGGAGGAACTCACATTTCCATTTTCTTCCTTGGCAAATAGGAGCTGGAGATCTGGTGCATTACTACCAGGGCTGGATAGAGGGGCAGCAGCAGGCACAGGTACCAGGCTGCACCTTTGATCTGAGCCTGGAACCACACAGAGTGCATGCCCAGAAGCACAGTTACTGTAGCCATCAGGTAGACCACCAGTCCACATGTCAGATGGTAGAGCTTGAGACGAGCCACCCTTGAGACCCTGGCTGCCCGGGGACACAGGAGGCAAAGTCCACACAGTGCCTGGCCGATAGTGGCCAGCAACGTCAGAGCCCCTACCCAGCTGTGCCAGGACGCCAGGTGGGGCAGCTCACTGCGGGTCCTGCTGGAGATGATGAAGCCCAGGCCCAGGGCTGCACCGAGGATGGCTAGGGTCTGCCCTGCCCAGTGGAGTCGGATCCGGGCCTTTCGGGAGCAGAAGAAGAACAGGGAGTGCTCGGGCGAGAAGAGCAGGATGGCCTCAGCCATGCAGAGGCAGAACTGTGAACACAGGAGAGGGCCAGTGAGCCTCAGGCCCGGCTCAGAGGCCTGAAAAAAGGGAGGTGCCCTCATACATCCAAACAAGGAAGACAAAGGGTGGGGGCTAAAGAACTCCCACCAGGACCACCTGCCTCACAGGTAGGCATTTGTGGGCAGAATTGGGAATCCACGCTTGAGTGGAAGTGTCATCATTCAGGCTGACATCCATGCCCCACACCCCCACCCCGCCCCACATCCTCAATAGCAAGGACTCTCATTTCTTGACCAATGGGAACAGCAAAAGTTAAGCTTTCTTCTGAACTCTGGGGGGTGGGGAGCAACTGGATAAGGCCCCTTCCACTTCCTCTTTTCAGGTCCAGAGTGGAGAAAATAATGGTATCTTCCATGCCCTCCCACCCCGTTATACCACCCGATTACCTATAGCCCAGCCCTCCATGTTTCCTGACCTCAGTGGTTGCAAGGAAAGACGGGGCCCTGGGTATTTCCCCCCACCTCTCTGAGCCAAAGAAAGGTTAAGCCTCCTAAAGGCTAGATGCTTCCTTAGGGGCATAGCCAAACCAATCACTCAAACTCACCGCCAAGGCCATGAATACAGGGTGCCAGGAGAAAAGACCTAAGAATCAAAGAGAACAGACTGACGGCGGGGTACCGTTGGTTCTGCCCCTGTGGCTGGCTGGAGCCCGAAGAATCTGGCCGGAGGGGAAAGGTCAGTGCAGTGTCTTCAACCCTAATCAGTAATCAGGCCCTCCAGGCAAAGTGGTGCAGCCAAAGGGCTTTAGGCTGAGCAAACCAAGAAGGCAAACATACCAGTTTGGCCTGGATTCCCCATTCAGCACTTCGCAGCTACCAGCCCAGTCCTAAAATAGACCTTGGCCTCCCTCCTTTACTCGTAGCATCCGTGAGGGGCTCTGCTGGTGTCGAACTAACAAGTTCAGTTAGTTCACTTCAGGCTTCTCCTCTCCTCCCAGCACCCAAAGCCCCACCCTTCCAGGACCCACCCCCAGGGCCACACCCCACCACGCCCTTACTACCCCTCCACAGTCGCCCATCCACTGAGAGTCCCCACTCCAAGCCTCTTAGCGCTCCAAGCGCAGCCCCGCCAACATCTAGGCTCCGCCCCCTTTCCTGGCCCCGCCCCTCCCTGCACACTCACTGGTTCCTGGCCGGGACAGCACAGTCAGGAAGATGGTGAAGCCCACAGCGACCAGATGCGCCAAGATCCCACTGCCTCTCCGCAGCCAGCGGGTCAGTCTCGGCTCCCTCGGCGGAGCGAGAACCAGACCTACCTCCAGAGACTGCATGGCGGCGCCCGGCAGCCGCACACTCCCAGCTGCCAGGGCAAGTCTTCCGGGTTTGCGATCGCGGAGGCGGCCGCGGATGCGGCAGAGGCTCCTCCCCGGGAGCCGCCGGCAATGCGGCGGCTCGCCCACAGCGCCCTCTGCAGACTGGGGGAAAGCGCCTCGGTCCTGGAGAGCCCCGAGGGCAGGAAGCGAGTGGACAGCTCCGGGCCCACCTTGTTTCTTCAGCCAACCTCACTCATATCTTTACGTCTACACGGGCTTATGGGGCTTATGTCTCAAATAGCCTGTGAAAATTACTTTCATGACAACTGATTTCACCCAAGTCACAAATCTGGTATACAGAATCAAGAGTGTGAAACCAGTTTTGAGTTTTCCAAAAATACTGGATTTCCCTGGTTGCCCACTCTCTCCTGCCACCCCTCCCATCTTGTTAAGGGAGTAAGAGTCGCCTCTGCCTAAAAGCAAGGAGACTGAAAAGGAGCGGATAAAGCTAAAAACCAGTGCCCCGTGCCTGGTGAATTTGAGTTTGAGGACCAAAGGAGGGACAGGCAACAGTCGTGTCCCCTATCTGCACAGTAGCTTTTGTCCCCAGTGAGACAAATGGAAAATCTAGGGCACTCCTAGCCCTTGTCGCCTCCACACCATCTGCTCAGCCCCAGGGAACCAGGTGATCCTGAGGGACTAGGACCTCCCACACGCTGGCTGCCTCCCACACCAAGGGATGTTCTGTAAGTGAGCTTACCTTTTCCCTTTCTGCCTCCAGAAAAGGTGTGCTTCAGCTTAAGGAGGTCTACCTGGGAGAGGCTGCACCCCTTCCTTAAGGGTAAACCCACAGGCCATGGGGCGAGAGACCAAAACAGGCAGTCCCACAGGAATCAGGGACATCCTGAGGGCAATTACCAACTCCACTTCAGCTCCAGTGGTTGAGAAAATGAGGCTACTAGTAAGAGGCAGGAGGAGCTGAAGAAACTGAGGCAGTAATTCAGAGACAGGATGGAGGCGCCGGGATGCTGGAAGACCAGAATAGGGCCACAGGCTGATTCTCCTACACCTTCAAGAAGATTGAAGAGTAGACCCGGAAGTGTGGCTCCCCTCCCCCATCAAGTTTCTTTCCCCAATAGGACTGTAGTCCCCTTGCTCACTAGGAGCCACATGCCTCCTCATCCTAAGACTCCCCCAATGACACAACCCCTAGCCATTTCCAGAGACTAAAAGTACAAAAACATATGAGCATAAGAGATTCTTTTCCAGGCAAGTGATAGGAGCTGGAGGCTGACTGCCTATCAGGTCAGCCTCCTGGGGTGTAGCTGGGGACAGTAAGGACACTCATTTTATTACACTTCTTTCCTTCCTATGTTTCTGTTTTTATATTTTCTTAGCAGCAACAGAACAGGAAGACAGTCTTGAGGTATTTTAAAGAGTTTTTTTTTTTTTTTCTTAAAAAAAATAATATAAAGTTATAAAAAGCGGCAGCAGCCTGGGGCCCGGATCTGGAGGGGAGGAGGTGCTGGCGGCTCCATTGCAGTGGGCAGGCACTTTCTCGTTAATGGGCTTTTGACTGCAGGAAGACAAGAGGCAAGAGACAGGGTCAGGCTAGGGGGTCTACCTGTCCTCCTATCCAGTGAACTATGTGGGCCATAAAAGCTAAGGTTCGATTTCCTCCTGCTGGTCTGTTGAGTAAAGCTAAGCACGGGGGAGGATAAATGCCTGCCCAGCAGAGGCAGTCTGGAGATCACCCATGCAAGCGGGGGACACAAACACACTCAAGCCCTGGGCAACTGTCAACTTATTACTACTCTCATATGGGTGCGAAATGTGTTGGGATGCATCTGGTCAGTGCCTAAACCAGGACGGCATCCCCCTTTCCCACCCAATTCATCCCTCCTGGCTAAGATCATATGTATAGCTCAGAGCATGCTACTCCAGGGCTCCCATCAGAAGAGGCAAATAAATCTGGCTGCTGGCTTTTCTGGAAACCCTGGAGAGTTTGCCTGATACCTGAAAACCTGGCAGTGGATACATGTGCAAGGTGGGCAGACATGCATATGGGGACCTTGGGTGCTGTCCCTGCCCTTTCAGGCCCTAATGCCCGGAAGCAAAACCAACGAACAAGACCAGCCCACCCACCCTGTGCCCCAGTGTGTTAGGCCACAGCTCTGGGACCCCAGCTAAACCCCACTGCCCAAACCTTTCTTATCAGAGCTCATGGAGTCCAACTTCCTTTCCTTCAGGGAACAGAGGTAGCTCCAGTTCCTGGAGTGAGGGCCACAGCCAATTCAGAAAGTGGCCCTTTAATTAAAGCAAAAGTGGGGGAAGGGGGAGAGGCAGAGGCAACATCTTCTTAGCCCAAGAGAGGGCTGGGGACAGGGGAAGGCCCACCAAGCAAGAGCTGGGGTCACCTCTCCCTAGAGAAGATGGCCCAGGAACTCTCAACTTCCCCAGTCTTCCCCTCCCTGCACAAATTTTTTTACTTAGGCACCTCTTTCTGTCAGGTTCCTGCTAGGCACACCAACCTCATCCATCCTGACCCTTCCCCACCCCCGCTCTTCAGGGAGCTGGGCTGGTACCTTCAGTGCAGAACACTTCTCCTCAAAGGCCAGGGCCGGACCCGGCTTCTTGCGGCGCACAGGACAGGCCGCGTCGGCAGGGGCGCCAGCCTGGCAGTGCTTGGCCTTCACTGGCCGGCAGTAAGTGGCCAGGTTTTTCCGCTTCTTGGCTACCTCCTCCTCAGAGAGGCAGGTGGTCGGCAGGGCCTTGGCCACATGTCCAGTCACCCCCTGGCTGTCCAGCTGAGAGGCCTTGACTGGCGTGGGGGGCTGATGAGGGGAACCCCGACAGTCCAGGGGCCCTGCCCTCTTCACTCTTGGCCCCACCGTCCCATTAAGCCCCAGGCCCAGAGCAGGTTTAGTCTTGGCTGAGAGGCCCCGGCATCCAGAGGGCTTGCCTTTTCCAGTGGGCTCCAGGATGCAAGTCCGTTTGAAAGTGGTGGGGCCCGGTGATAACTTTCGTTTTCGAGAAGGAGCCTCCACCTCCAGCCTGTCCTTGCCTTTGGACGACTTGCTGGCCTTGGAAGGTGGGAGCTTGCTGAAGGACGGGGACGGCGTGTTGGCAGGCAGTGGTGAGGTGATGGCCTGGCTCCCGCCCATGCACTCCGCCTGACTACAGGCGGCTGCCACGTTGGGGGAGCCTGCAGGGTAGCTGGGGACAAGGCTGTCCTTGGTGGGGGGCGTGGAGGCGGGGCAGGAAGGTCTGGGGGGTGGGCCTGGAAGGCGAGGGCTGTTGCCCATAGGGGATGGGCTCAGGGGAGCAGATGGGAGGGAGCTGACAAGGTGGGATGGAGGCTCAGCCGCCGGTGGGATCTTCCTGCGGCAAAAAGAGAGCCCCACTGTGATGCCAAGCAAGCCAGAGGGCATCCCCACCAATATACAACAGCATTTCCGCCCCAAGAACTGGCCCAGAAGCCCTGGCAGTGCTGCCATCTGCTGGGAGACACTGGAACTGAGGAACACGAAGAAAGCCCAGGGACAGAGATGTAACTAATATATAGATGCTTTAAGAATCCCGCTTTAAATCCCAGGTTAGCCATCCTCTACCCCTACTTACCTAAAAGGTACTGGAAGTGACAGGTTAAGAGTTAAGATTCACTCCCAGACGACCCATTCATGCCCGACCTTAGCCTAGCTCCAGGCCGCCAAGTTTCCCCACTTCTTCATCCTACTTGGGGGCTTCCTGGCCAATAGCCAAGCCGCGTTTCTAGGTGTGTGTAAAGAATTAGGGCTTCTGAAGCCCACAAGTTCCTGGGACCCAGGGAAGGAAGTTCTGGGGCCAAGAGACTCACTTCCACATGTGGGAGCTGAGGTGCCGTTCCAGCATGGAGCTCAGGGCCGAGCAGAACCGGTCCAGCCGGCGGCTAAACACATAGCATCCTGGACTCACCAGCCGGCTCCCAAAGGTGCAGAACTGGAGGCAGAAGGAAGGTACATGGTTACCGGTGCCTGAAATACAGGGCGGGTACCTGCACACAGAATCAGACCTCCTTCCCACACTCTGGACCAGGAAGACTGCCCCCTCACCCCACCTCCACCCCCCGGGTCCTTACCGCCTGTGGCCGAGGGGGCCGGCTTGCATAATGGCAGTCAATGGGGAGGTGGAGGTCATCAGATGTCCCCTCCTCCTCACTCTCCTCGCTGGAGGCCTGGGCCCCACCCCGGGGCAGGGGGAAGGGGAACAGACCTGGATCCCCATCACCACCACAAGGGCCTTCATCATCCAACTCACTCTCAGAGGAGGCCCGGGACCTGGAAGGGCCAAAGGGGATGTGAGGGCAACATGACAGAAATGGGTCGGGGAGAGGGGGTTGTCCCTGAACCCGTCAAGCTCAAAAAGCCAGGGCAGACACCCTGTGGGCCATCAGACAAAGAGGAAGGGGGCCAGGGAGGGAGAGGACAACGGAGCTCACAGAGATAAGAGTCAGAAAGATCAGGGGCCACAGCTCCCAAGGGATTCTCTCCCCAGCCCCTTCACTTCCCAGGCCCTGCCTCCTCAGGGGGAAAATCTGCTCCAGATTCGCCTTCTCCAGAAAATCTTCTGAGTGTAACTGCACTCAGCTCGGGTCAGCCCAGTCAATTTTCTCAACCCCCTTCTTGCATCACATATTCCTGTGAGCCTGTCTGTGAGCTGAGCCTGTGTTTCGTGTCTGCCCCTCGTGTTACAGGCAGGGATGGGTGTGTGTCTCCTTCGGCAAGGCAGGCTCTCCCCCGGGTCCAGCGCAGCCTCTGCACACGAAGGGGCCAGTGAATAAATACACAGAGGGTCTGCCTCACCCAGGACCCTGACCCTTCTGGCTCCCCGGTGATGACTTTTTGCCTGGTGGAAGCAGCTGGGAGAATGTTTTTATCCTGGGTATTGGATCGCTACAGAGGGGCAGGGGTACTGCGGTATGCCAGGTCAGCAGCAGGGGAATCACTTGCTTCCACACCACTGCCAGGGCTCCTCCCCCCACAGCAGGGTGGAGTGAGCAGCATCTTCTAGGACACCCCCTGGCCTGTCTCCAGGGGTCCCTGACAGTTTGGGGCCAAGCGTCCCCAGGTCAGATGGGTGCTGGCTCCTGGACCTACCTGGGCAGTGCACAGTAGGGGTAGGTTGGCTTGGCACGAGCAGAGAAGGCGCCGCTGGGAGCAGCCACTGCTGCCACAAGTTGAACTGAGGCGGGGGGCTCCTGGGAGGGGCGCTCGAGAGCTGCCTCCTTGCGCCCTGGGCTCTTCTCCTTGGGAGACTCCCCCTTGCGGGAGTTGGCCTTCAGCTCTGCCACCAGCACGTCAAAATCCTTGGCTCGGCCCTGGACCTCCCGGCGCTGGTGCACCGAGTGGATCTAGAACACAGCAGGGTGGAGGGTGGGGAGGGGGTGTGAGCTGAGCAGGGGAAGGGGCAGCAGTGTGCTCTGGCCTAGGCAAGCGGAGAGACTGGGGGGGAATCTGGGAGCCACCCCCCTGCCTGCTGTCCCTACCTTGGGCCCACTGGGGCAGCCCCTTCTCCCCATCCCTGGTCTGGACTTAACCCCCATCCCTTGAGTTGGACTTTGGATAAGATCGCACTTCCTCTCCCTTCCCAGGGCCCGTGTTCTCCCTCAGCAGGCAGAGGGAGTAGAGGTTACCTTGCAGGTGAGAAGGCGGGTACAGATCTTTTTGGTCTCTGGATTTATTACCCCACACTGCCTATTGAGGTCGCACTCCTTCCCTGTAGGGAAAGCAGGTCCCATGAAGCCCACAGCCACTTTGAGGAGGCCCAGGGGAAGGTCTGGCATCTTCATGTCAAAGGCCTGGGAAGAGCTGGGCCTAAGGCAGGAGAGCCTCTGGCTCTCAGGTCTGCAGCTATAGCCTTCCAGACAAAACTCCTCTGGGCATCAGCAGCTCTCTGCTAGACGTAAGAACCATCCCCTCACCATTATCAGCCCAGAATCCTTTGGGGGGCTCCAAGCCCCAAATAGAGCAACACACACCAAGAAACGAGCAGCCACAGGCATCTGGAATGCCAGAGAAACCAGCTATGGGAGGTTTCTGGTGCCCTGGATCTAGGTGAGAAGAAAGATAAAGGTCCATAGCCCTTTATGAAAAGGGTCCATAGCAGGGCCCTGCCCATTCACTACATGGTGAGGAACAGTACCTTCACCTACTTGGGCACAGGCTCCCATAGCCTTAATCAGGACAGCTGAACTGAAGAGACTCTTCCAAGAGAGCAAGCAGGTCAAGTGAGTGCCCATGTCAAGGGATGACCAGGGGTCCCTGTACCCAGGCAATTTGTGATGGCCAAGCCCCCTCTTTGCTGACCCCCTCTCCATCAGACCCAAGCACAAAGCTGTCCAAAGGAGTCCCTACTCTACCTTCCTGACCCCCAAGACCATGACTACTCACGAGCCGTCTTCCGGTGGGTTTTGGGGGGCAGCTTGGCCCCACCAGGCTCCTTTTCAGAAGGGCTGCCTTCAGTCCGGTGACTGGGGCCCTCGCTGGGGGCTATCTCGATGCTCTCTCTGCCAGGAAGTTCTTTAGAAGGGGATGACATGGGATTTTTTCCAGGGGAGTCCTTGGTGAGGCCACCTGGCTGGCTGAGGAAAGCAGAGGGTGGGGCCACCCTGATTCCATGTCCATCAGGCTTCGGAAGACTGGACATCTTCTCCAGATTCACCACAGGCACGAAAAGGCTATACGTGGAGAGAGGGTGTAGGCTGGGAGGTAGGGAGGCTGGGTCTGGGCCCCGGATTCTAGCCCAGGACCATCTCCTTTCCCGGAATTTGGGTGGGCTCCTGAAGGGGTGCAGAACTCGGGACAAGGGAATCCTATATTCCCTGGAGCAAGTGGAAGGGAGCTGCAGAGAGAGCTGGCTCCCTCCCACCATGAGCAGTACCCATGAGCAGCCCATGGCTGCTTCCATTTGTCAACCCCTCCTTGGGCTGTGTGGTCAGGGCTTGTCTCAGGGAGTTTCCAGCCTTTCCTTACCAGAGGTTGTCCTTCTGGGTCTTCTCAGGAGGCTGGTGGCCACGGCTGCGAGACCCCTGGCCCTTCTCCCTGGAGGAGGTTTTGGTAGAACCTGGGGCCCTACAAGCAGGGCCCTGCCCATTCACTACATGGCATTTCTGAGAGCTGGCAGGGGCTGGAGGTGGAGGTGGGGCCCGGGCGTAGAGCTTGCTGAGGGGCCCATGTCTTCTTTCTGTTGCCAGGAGGTAGAGAGAGCAATCGAGGTGAGTGCTATTAACTGCCTCCTGCCCCATCCTCCTAACCCTGATCACAGATTTATGATAGAGAATCTGCAGTTTCCAAATGTTAGGTTTTAGATTGGCCTCCTTCCCCTTTGAATCTGCACCTTCAAGACTGAAAATTCTAGGACTCTGTTTCTTGAAACTCTTAGCTCTTCCCAGATGCTAGAACTTTACTTTGCTAGAAGTTTGCTTAAATAATAATCCCAACCAACCACAATGTCTGAAGCTCCACCCCACCCCACCTTCCTATTCACAAAGCCTCCCTCCATTACCCACGTGACCTCCCAACTGGCCCTGTCCTCGGAGTTCCAAGTTCCACCTTCCCCTGTTCCCTCTATCTCCTCCCTAGGGCTCCCCTCACCGCAGTGCTTCTGGAAAGCTTGAGGCTTCACCACTTGGCTGCAATGGTTACATACAACCAAATAGAAGTCGTCATGGGCAGGGCAGTGCCCGAAGATGGACATGTCTGCAACGACAGAAGCCCTTATCACTGGGGCTGGGGATGCCAGGGTTTCCCTGTAAGATCAGAGACAAGACCCACCCACCACTCAGATGACACTTCCCCTCCCAGCTGATATAAGAGGCTTTATGATGGATGCTTCCAGAGTTCAATCTAACCAATCCCTAAGAATGCAGGCTTTCAGGTGAGAAAGCAGCAAACACCAATGATTAGGATCTCCCTCAGTCAGTCACAGGAGCCAGAGGAAGAGGCTGACTCAGACCTATCAAACTGAGAATGCCCAGACTGGCTGCTTCGCTGGCTGCAGCCACCTCCTGGGTTGTGGTTGGAAGAAGGAAAGGTGGTCCTGTCTGCCCTGGGCCCCAGCCCTCATGTGTGCCGACTCCCACCTTCTTTAATGAGGGTCATGGCATCCAACTTCTTCGGGTTTTTGTTACTCTCCTCCAACTCAGCCCCTAAAGGAGAAACACAGCTCAGAAGGACCACTCCCATCCCAGACGCCCATCTCCAACCCGACCAGGTGCTGTGGCCAAGCAGGAAGAAGCCCCTGCCTCTTGACAAGCACCCGGTGCTCAGGACCACCCAGAGAACCACTCAGTGGATCTTTCTCAAGTGGTCATTCTTCCTTCACCTGCTACCTCTGGAATAAGCTGGCTCCATCAGGAGGATCCTTTCATGTGGCTCCTTCACTCCAAGGTGCAGTTCAGGATCCCATCGCTGACCAGTTGGATGACTGTGGGTAATTATCTCTTTTCTGGGCCTGCTTCCCCATGTAAATGGGGAACAGTCCTTCACTTATTTTACTACAGATCCCCGAGGCCCTTCTTGAAATTTCTCAGATGCGTTCTTTCTGCTTTTCTTGGCATCCCAAACAGATACTCTCCCGGGTCCCCAACCTCAATTTTGTTTCACTTGGGTTGCCATGGCATTGTGAAAGTTACACCCAGTTGCTCAGGTCCTGCACTGACAGGATAGCCATAGAGCAGAGAAACTGCTATCTTGGGGCCCTTCAGCATCTTCAAAGTCCCCTAGGTCAGCTACGCAAACCCTTTTCCTCTTAAGGGGGTTTGGGCAAGGGTTGCCCTTGTACCTCAGTTTCTGGGTTGATGACAAAACATCTTAGCTATGCAAAGCAGCTCTTTCCCCATCCCCCTACCTTACTGCTCTCCCCTCCCTCTCTACACCCCCTCCCTGTCCCTTGGAAAAAAAAAAATTAATTCTGAGTCACCAAACCCGGCTGATTCCATTTCCGGTTCTCAGTGCACCCAGACCCTGACAATGGCCCCATCCTTGCCCACCCAGCATGGGGCAGTTCTAGGGTGGCCTGAGGCTCCCACTTAGGTCTGCTTCTGACACCTACTAACAGACTTGCCCCTTTCTAGAATGAGAATACTGACAGTCTTATATAATCTCCAGATGTGAGGGGTGGTGGGTTAGGTATGCAAGAGACAAGGGGCAGGCTCCACTCTGAAGTCCGTTAAAATGCGGTGATGAACAGAACTGAGCTGGGAGTTGGACGTCTCAGAGGAGAACAAGTGTCATCAGAGACGGCTCCATGTGGTCTCCTCCTCCACCTCTTCTCACTTGCAAACTTCTTCTGGGGCGTGATGCCTGCTGTCACCCCAAAGGCCACGAGGCCAGATGCCCCCTGGGGCCCAGGAGACAAAGATCAGGAAAGGGGCTGTCAGCCCGCTCCACCAAAAGCACTCAGGGGCCTAGAGAAGGTGGGTGTCAGGGGAGAGAGCCCGGGAGGTAGGGCAAGAGGCCCGGGAAAGGACGGGGGGTTGGAGGCATGGATGGATGGACAGAAGGAGGGAGGAAGGGAGGATGGATAGAAGGATGGACCGATGAACTAATGCGGAGGAGGCGGGGGTCCAGTGGCACTGCAGTCGACAGGCAAACGCCGAAAAGGAGCAGAAGGTGTGGGGCAGAAGGCGACGGAACAAGGGGGGTTGGGAGGGGGCACAGAAGTGGGGTGCGTGGGAAACACGTGGAGAGGACTGTTGCGGATGGGGAAAGCCCGAGGCAGGTGCAGGAGGGGCGGAAGCTGGAGGACAGAAGGCAAGAAGAAACATAAAGGAAAGCAGATGTAGGGGCAGGTACTGGGCAACGGCAGAGGCAGAGGTGGGCAGGGTGGGCTGCTGGCGGAGAGCCGGCGCTAGGACCCGGAGGCGCGAAGGTGGCGGAGAAGGCGGGCACTAGGACCCGGCGGGTCCTTTGTTTGGGGGGCCGGGGAGCCGGACGGCGGCTCCCGTCGGCAGCTCCCCTCTGCTGGCGGGGGCCCGGAGTGGGGGAGGGGAGACAGGGATGGGGTCTTCAGACTCTAGAGGAGCTTCACTCACCGTCGGCCGCGGGCAGGTCGGCCCGCTCCACCCACGAGCTCCAGCTCTGTCCCGCGAAGTCATCGAGACTCGGCACCCGCCGCTCCAGAGCGGCCATTGCTGCCGCCGCGCGTTCACGCACCGCCATCACCGCCGCGGACACGCGCCCGCCCCGGCGCCGCCGCCGCGCGGCCCCCTCCCCGCCGCGGGCACGCCTCCCCTCTCCCTCCCACCTTTCCAGCTCACCCTTTTGCGCAAGCGCAGCACTGTCCGTCTGGCTCAGTCTCTCGCCCACATAGCCTTCTGGGAAATGTAGTCAGCTAGGTGGTGCTGTTGCCTACTGAGCTTGCCACAAGAGCCCCTCCAAAATGCATGATTGCGAGGGGAGAAAGAGACCAAAGCCTCAGGACCTCCTCTCCTAACCCTTGTGAACACATTCTTTCTGCTACCAGTCCCTCTCTTAAACTCACTGCATACAGACCCCAGTCCCAAACCTCTCTGCCCAAGATGCCCCTTTAAGCGCTGCCCCCGCCAGCTGACTGGCGCCCCTTCCCGGGCTGGCGGCCACGAGCGACTTCGCTTCCCTGTAGATCGAATAGGGTAGGTGCAGGGAGGTGGGCGCTGTGAATCAGAAGGGCAAAGGGAGGGGGTCTGTAGGATGTGCTGAAGGACACAGGGGTTGGAGTGGGGGAGGATCCTCAACTCTGGTGGTGTGCCTGTGTGGGAAACCCACGCTGCCCTAATGCAGAGCAGAGGGTTGGAGTAGCGTTTTCTGGATTTGGTAGGACCTAGTTGAGCTGACCAAGATCACCTGTCAGGATGACAGAAGGCTATCTGTGAGCCAGAGCCAGCCCCGGAAATGGGGTGGCCCCGGGGCTGCTGGTGTTTGCAGCATCTCTGCTGATCCGTCTCTCCCCTTCTGATAACTGCGATCAATACCCTGTATCGCCTCTTCCCAAACCCTGGTTGGACCCTGACTCCATCCATCACTTTGGCTTCTTTTTCTATCGAATATTTTCTGTGCTGGCAGGGCTGCTACCAGAGCTTCGTCATAGGGTGATTTCTCATTTATTTTCCTTGCTAAGGCCTGGAAAATATTGATACCTTAATCATCCACATCTTTCTCCTCAGCTGATAACATTCTTTCTTACCTTAATACACTCAAGAGACAAAAGCCTGTCTCCTACCCCGTCACATCAGAAAAGAGATACTAATTCTCTTTTCCCTTACACCTCACCCCATATTCATTCTTTCATCTCAGGGGAAACCAAACTGGAGGCAAATAAGTCAAGGTCTGTGACTTCAAGACCTCTGCATGTCTTCTCATTTTCACCCAAGGAATGTTAAAGTACTTCAAGGATGATCTCTGATGGTAGAGCTTCTTAACCTGAAAACCATAGATGATTCCTAGGAGGTTGGCGAACCTGGTGACATTGAGTGTAATATTGTGCCCAAGTGTATTTTTCAAGGGAATATAAATGAAGCCTGTGACTGTCTGTCAGAAGGGGCATAGAGGTGCAAGTTTGTAAGGTTAAGAGGGCAACGCATAAGGCCCTCAACTCCTGACAGGAAGCTAGATTAGGTCACAAACGGTAGGAGAGACCATGGAAACAGCATTGTGGAAGCCACTATCTCCTGCCTTTTGAGTTTACTCTAAATTTATTAATGAGTCTCAGTTACTTTGGACTGAGGAGATGTCACCAGGCTGGGGTCTGCCACGAACAACTCAGCCTTCAGACTCTTACTGCTGGGAGTGCAGAGTGGAGAGGAGTAGAATGATGTTTTGGTTGAAAATGCTGATATTTGTCCAAGAACTTAAAGCAAGGGGAGGAGGAAAAAAAATCCCCATAAGGGCTACATTCTTGGCTCCGTCATGGCAAATGCTTGAAGCATTGTTTATTCATGTGTATAATGACAAGCACCAGAAAACAACATGCAACATTCGCCCCCCGCCCCTGATCTGCAATCCCAGAAGAAGGACATCTACGACCATGATAGTGGAGGGAACTCGTGTTCAGAAAAGGTCTGAGGTGGGCATCCTGGCAGGGTCAGAATTTACTAGGGCAAAGGCAAGTGCCCTGCCTGCTGGCCTCCTCCCAGCAGCTGGAGAAACCAGACACCTTCTTCTACCTCAGGCCCCACTAGGCAAAGTGGTGATGCCAGCCCTGGTTGGAGGGAACATGAGTCCTCTGAGGACAGTCCAGCCCTCTGAAGGTAATGAGGTGAAGCAGCCTTTCCTTTTAGGATGGCCGTGAAGAGAGAGGCCATAGCCTAAATCAAGGCTCTTCTGACTGAGAACAAGCCAGCCACTTGAAGACGATAAAAGAGTCTTCTTGGCCTAAGGGAGAGTTCTGGGCTAGGAGTCCTTGGCAGGAGTGTATACCTACCCACCCCCCTTCCTTAGCTGAAGGGCCAATTAGTAACTTAGGCCCCCACAAATGAGAACACTTTATCCATCACATTTCAGATAAATTATAAATACGTACACAGAATCAAACATAGTTCCAGTAGAAGCTGCTCACAGACCCTCACAGGGGCCAGCTTGAAGAAAAATGAAGGAACCCCTTTGTTCTCTGTGTCTCTGACGCTGTAGGCAAAGCTGTCCCACCTTGTCCTTGAGTAATCATGGGGACAGCTCAGGACAGAGAGAGGTTCAGACTTAGAAACACCCTCATCCCCATCTCCCAGCTTCCCTCCTCAAATCCATTCCCCAAAAGCTAAACAAAACAAAATACCTAATTTTTCACTGAAGGACTCTGGGGCATTTGAAGATATAAATCTCACACTCCCCTATCAAGCGGGGAAACTCTGACCCAAAAGATTGGCCCAAAGTCAAATGTCCTGCCACCTGGGTTCCCCAGTAATGCACATGTTACTGTGGAGGGTGCTGAGGAAGGTGAGGAGGTTGGAGGGGTTGACTCAGTCCTGAGGAGAAACACCCAGGACACATCCACCTTTGGGACGACAGATGGGCTAACTGGCCCTGGTTTGGAAAATGGCTGGGTTCTGCCTTTGTCAATCTCCCCTGGGCGGCTCTATGGCCAGGGCAGACTGAAACATTCTGAGTGGCATGGGAGGCAGATGGCCCTTCTCCAGACAGCAGTGACTCTTGGGCCCTGGGGTCCAGAGAGGGACTGAAGGAGGTATTGGGAAGAGGAGACACAACCAAGGACAAATATGGAACTGGGTCCCGAAATGAAGAAGCACCAATAGCATCGGCCTGCCCTGGACTGAGGTGGGGGTGAGGGGTAGGGGGATAGAGCCTGGAAAAAATGAGGAGACAGAGGAGGAATGGAGGGCAAAGTGAGAGGGCATATTCTTTCATAAAGGTGAGAAAGGGAAATGTGAACCAGGGTCCAGAGAAGGAGCAGGGAGGAGGAAAAAAAAGAAGAGAGTGAAGGGGAAGTGGGCCCATCCATCCATGTCCCGGGGCCCTGGGGCAGCTTAGACTCATGATGGTCCTTTTTCCTCTTTCCAAAGCTGCTAGCTGGCCCCACAGAAATCAAAGGAAGGCCTGAACAGACTCAGAAAAGTATCTTGACTGCTTCAGATCCAAGAGGCTGGGGAAGGGAGGTGGACAGAAAGACAGGAGGTGGGGAGGGCTGAAACAGAGAGAGCCTCCTAGCCCCCTCAACTTGTGTCCCAAGTGTAAGACAAGCCCAAGAAGGAGGACAGGGAGAAAGGTAAAGAGTTTCTGGGGCAAGTAGGAGTTGAGAGTGTTGGTGGAAAGCGCCCCAGCAGGGAGGGGTGGGAAAACTAAGGGAATAGAAAAAACTGATTCCCCAGCAAGTTTCCTGGCTACTGTTTCTTGAAGTTGCAACTCAGTTGCAATTGGGACCCTCTGGAAGGCTGTTTTCTAGGCAAGTCAGCCTCCGGGGTTCAAACATGATGGACTCCGCGGGCAAACAGGGGCCGGAGGAGGGAGTGGAGAACATACTAAGCTCAGACTGATGTCAGGTCAGTGCAGACATGGGGCCTTGATGACAGCCACTGAAGAGAGGTCACTAAACCACTGGTGGGCCCTCCATGCAAGGGGGCAGGGAGAAGGCTGCCAGCCAATTTCCCCTCCCCCCACTTTTATTGAAGCTGGACAGATCGATAGAAGTGGCAGCGAGGAACCAGTCTCAGGTCTCCTGACCGCGACCCTTGCCTGCAGCAGAGGCTGGCTCTCAGAGGCTGTGAGGGTACATATAAGACCCCAAGGAAGATGCCTGGGTCCAGGCAGTACACAAGAAGCACTGAGCTCCTGCCATCTGGGACTCCAGGAAGAGGAGGGATAGGAAGGCACTGGGAGGGCTGCCCAGGTTTCCGACAGCTGGTGCCTGCCCATCAGTGAAGACGTCTCAAAGCCCAGAATGATGGGGGGAGGGAAGCTGGAGGAGAAGGAAGAGGGAGGTCCTGGAAGCCGGAGGTGCTTGAAGAGGTGCTGTCCTGTTCGGGAGTAGCTGGGGGCTGCTTACTGCTTCTCCACGGCTCCCTGCTCAGCTGCGCTCTCCGGGCTGGCGCCCTGACCCTGGTCCTGGCCCTGCCCATGCCACGGAGTCTCCTTGAACACAAACCAACAGTTCCCGGCCCACAGGAAGAAGTTGATAAAGCCGAAGAGCTGCAAAGACATGGTGGGGGGAGGAGGGAGGTCATGAGAATAGGAAGGAAGGCACTGTGGGGATCAGGAGGGGGAATGCCTGTGTGAGGTTGGGGGGAGGGAGGCACAGAGGGTTAGAAGGACTAAAAGACAGAGGACTGGCTGTAGAAGCATGGTTTAGGGCCACCCACTAAGGGGCTCTCTGATGAAGGTATCTAACTCTGTCTGCAGCATGCACCCAAGTTGTGGCTTGGTCGCTGGGAGAATGTGATTCCTGGAGTGGAGCACCATGCAAAGCAGAGCAAAGAGCAAGGGCTTTCATGGAGCCTAGCCCAGCATCCCTGGGGCCTCCTGGGTGGGCAGGGCCAGAGCTGTCCAAGGTGCTCCTTTCCCAGGGCAGCCAGCCAGCTGGCTCTATCCAAATATTTATTCAAAATACTTAAAAAACTATCAGCAGGAAGTATTTAGGGGAGGTGTACAATGTCTGCAATTAACTTTGAGATGCATTAACAATAAGATGGATTGATAGATGAACAGAGGCAGATAGATACGTGATAAAGCAAGTCTAGTAAAATGTTAATGGTACAGTCTAGTTGATTAGTGTGTGGGTGTTCATTGTAAAAATTCTTTCAACCTTACTGTATGTGAACATTTTTACAGTACAATCTGGGGGGTGCGGTGTGGGGAGGTGGAACCTATCATCAAGATTCCAGCAAGATCTAGAAAGCTCCCTGGTGTACCAGCCATTAAACTTTTCAGTTACTGGGCCTTGGGGATGTTTTGACCATTTTCAGGGAGAGATTTCCCTAAGTAAAAGTCTCTCAGTCGTGTCTGACTCTTTGCGACCCCATGGACTATAGAGTCCATGGATTCTTCAGGCCAGAATACTGGAATAGGTAGCTTTTCCGTTCTTCAGGGGACCTTCCCAACCCAGGGATCGAACTCAGGTCTCTATCTGGGGATGTTTAAGCCAAAGCTTTGCAGGGCAGGGCTGAGGTGGCTGGGATGACAGGGGTGCATTTGCAAAACTCGAGGCCTCAGCTATTTACCAACTGATATAGAGATATTTTGATGTTCTAACAACTAAGGTGGCCAATACATGCATACCAGCTGGACCCACCACTGCCCAAAACTCTTTTCCAGCCTGGAGCTCCTTCTCATACACTCTGGGTCAGCTCCCAGCTTTGAGTCCCATCAGAGCCCTAGGCGCTCTCTTCATGTGCTTGTGTGTGCGCACACACACACTCATAAAGAGACAGGCAGAGTGGGAGGTGGTCACAGAGAGCATGCCAGGAGTGGGGGAGAACAGAGGGAAGTGGGAGGCAGAGGGCAGAAGGGGGAAGAAACGGGAGGTTGAGTGGCCCTTCCCAAATGTCCCTTGGGGTCAGCCAGGGGCCAGCAGGCAGCATGAAGCAGAGGGGATGTGTTGGCTGCAGGTGCTGGGGATACCAGCTGTGGGGACACCCTCTCTGTTCTTCTCAGCCCCTACTGCTGTGACTGGCCTGGGCATCAGGGACAGTGCTGCCTCCCCCAGACCCCATCAGTGGCCACAACTCTCACCACGGAGATGTTGGCCAGTCCCATGGAGGGTGTGGCCCCGGCACTGCACACCGCTTCCTCTCCATGGCACACAGACATGGCGGCGGTCAGGCTGGATGGCCGTGTGGCCCCCTTGACATCAGTCAGACCCTTTCCCCAGGCAGCTGCGGCTACCAGCCAGAAAAAGGTGAAGGAGACAGTCACACAGAAGTCCTAGGAGCAGCAGAGGGACAGGAAATAGTCAGAAAGGACTCCATGATTCTGCACTTCTTTTACTCTTGCCCTAATGTACTGTGATCCTGGGGTCCCAGGACAGCTGCCTCTTCCCATCCTATCCGACACCTAGAGCCTCAGGGAGCCTAGATCATTATGGGGAATCTTCCATCACGAGAATCCTGCCAGCCAGGGCTACCCTTGCCCATGCCCTCAGAACTGAGGTCAGGGAACAAGTCATCTATTGGTCAGTGTCATCCCCAAAGCCAAGCAGCCTAAACGCACCACTCTCCCCTCCCCCAGCCTTTGCTTTGATCACCATTGCTCAGTTACACCTGGTGGCAAAGTTAGGGCAGACCGTGGGAGATAAGTGGGGATCCCCTAAGGCACCCTTTCCACCTTGCATGCCTAGGATAAGGATAAAGCAAAGGTGAAATAGTATTAATAATAGCTAACAGTTTTGGAGGCTAACTATATACTAGATATTTTTATACCAGATATTTTATCCTTCCAAAACAGTGAGATAGTTATTGTTTTCTTTCCATTTTCTAGTCGAGGAAACTGACACTTAGAGAGGTTAAATAACTTGTCAAGAGCATATGGCTAGTAAGGGACAGTGTTGGGGTTTGAACCCAAGCAAATCTGACTCCAGAGCCTACTTCTTGAAGCTGTTGTGCCTCCTCTGAGCGGAGCAAGTGATGGGAAGTCGGTAGACACAGAGGTCTGAGACATGGGCCTTCCACAGGCCCAAGGACCTGGCAGCCCGAGCACCCAAAGGGACCAACAGCAAAGAGCTGGCAGGGAGATGGAGGAGGTTCACCTGAAGCGTCAGGGACCCAGGAAAGCTGCCACACTTGTCCTCAGCCCAGGATGTACAGTATCTCCTCCCCACCCCATCCCTCCTGGCTGTGCCCACTCACCACCAGTGGGAAGCGCCTATTTTCCGTATAGAGTTTGTGGAAACGCAGGTAGATGACGAGTGCAGCTATGGTGTAGAAGAAGGAAAAGATGCCCAGGGTCACGAAGAACTCAGCGGGGGCAGAGAAGTCTCCCATGAGGTGCATGGTCTTGGAGGTGGATTCGTCGTCACAGAGGGGCATCTCATACGGGACCCGGTTCAACCTGCAGGTGGCAGGAAGCCAGCCCTGAGCTCAGGGCAATCCTCTCCCTGTGCAAGCAGCAGCCTCTCTGTGCCCCGGGGTAGTCCTGCCCCCGTTCTCACCCAAGGACTCTTGCAGAGCCGAAAGAGGGGCATGTAGGGAAGAAAGTTTCTGGAGGGAACCTTGCAGTCAAGACAGGAATTTCCCTGGAATTCTGGCCAAACTCTACCTCCTGCTCAGTCACCACCCCACACTCATGCACCCTACCCAGACACGGTGACTCTGTATTCCCAAGTATCTCTAGGACCCTTTAGGTCATAACCACAATATATATAGTTCATCTATTTGTCTCAGCCAAACCATCAGGGGAATGAGCTTCATTCTGCCCCTGGGAAAGCACTGTGCCCAAGTTAAGATTGGAATTACCCATTCTCAGACTTTAAGTCCCCCAGTGAGACTACATTAGACCAAATCAAGAGAGGAGAACAAACACACTATTATGTTCAAGAGACAGCTGATCTAACTTGGATGCTGCTACTAGAAATTTCTGAAGAGGTGAGCCCTGTCCCTATTCCCCTCTGAACACTTGGGCTCCCCCTTCTCTAAGCTCCTAGATACCCAGGAAAGAGTATTCCCTTCTACCTCCTGGTCAAGGTGTACCTCCTTGTATTCTGTTGGTACAGGTGAGCATCCCCCTTCAGTTCTTTAGGATCTGAGTACTGACAAGCTTCCTTACCTTCAAGGCAGGAAGGAGGCTGCTGAGAGTAGGAGAAACTTGCCCAACTAGCCCAGACTCCTGTAAGTCTCCACCCACACAGTAGGGCTCATTCTGTAGGAGCTGTCATTACCTGCTATTGGCTATTCATGGACTAGAACATTATTAAAACAAGGATTTATCTGAGTTTCCCTTATATTCTTCTCTGGCGAGTGTGTCTGGAATTCCTAAAGGGCAGGAAGGACCTGTGCCTTTTAATTCTATTTGAAACTGGAGTGGCACACAACAAAAGGTCTTCAGGTTTCTGGAGGAGGAAGAGACCACACAGGTCCTGCCAATCCAATGAGAGAGGGTGTGCTGGGTCAGAATCAGCTCATGCTCACCTGAAGGGATAGCCGAATGAAACAATGATGGCGCTCACATCCTTGGCTTCGTTGTTGCAGCGAACTGTTGCTCCTGTCTCCCCGCTGTAGGAGCCGCAGGACCCGAAGGCGAAAATAGCAAAGAGCTGAGGGAGAGTGAAGCCCGTTTAAGGGTCAGAAGGTCTCAACTGGCCAAGATCTATCCCTCTGAACCACCCTCTCACTCCTAGCAGGTGCAGATATGGGATGGGGCCAAGTGAAAGCGAAAATGAAAGTCGCTTAGTCATGTCTGACTCTTTGCGACCCCAGAGACTGTAGTCCACTAGGCTCCTCTGTCCATGGAATCTCCAGGCATACTGGAGATTCACTGGATACCACTCCAGAATACTGGAGTGTGTAGCCATTCCCAGGAGTCCGTTTAATCAAGTCCCTTCTGGCCAGGGACACATGGCTTCTGTTGGTCTCCCAGCCTCAGGGTGCTCTGTTCACTGCCCAGGATGCTGGACCAAATAGCCAAATGCATAGGGTTAACTTTGACTGGTACCTGGGAGGGAAATGAAGAGGGAGAAATGGACAGTTTCTAGGTCTCCCCACTGGATGTGACATTGAAAAGACCACAGATAGCCTCCTTAAGATGATGACTAACACAAAGCAATTTAGGCTTTGGAAACTTCTATCTCAAAGGTGCACTTGAATTTCCTCCCCAAGGGAGAGGCATCCTAGAAATTCCCCTGTGCCAACCTAGATCAGGCATGCATGGAATTCTTTCCATTTCTCCTCTGAAGGCATCATTCAATCTTGTCATTACCTTCTTGCTAACTTACAGTGACTTCCTGCCTCAGTGGAGATATAGCTGGAGGGGACCACTTCTGCCAAGCCTTCAGAGGGGCCAAGGGGGCAGGGGCCGGGCTGCTGTCCCACAGTACCACCAGCTAACTTCTCTTCCTCTAAAGGCACCTTTCCTTCAGCAACAGTGCTGGCTGGGTTGATGCTGGCAGTCCTGGCTCAAACCCAGAGAAACGTATCCTCCACTTGCCTTATCGGCCTTTGCTATTTCGCCAGTGGTGTTTCACTTTATCATCTGTTGATGCTGCCATTTCTCGGTGTTGAGAACCAAAGGCATTTCAGATTACTTGAATTGTTTCCCTCTTCACCTTTCATCACATGTTACTAAACCTCCTATCTTGAGTGAAATGGAATTTCCTCATCCTACAATGTTCTAATTTCTTCTTGGGGACACACACTTTGGTGAGAAAAGGAGGTGAGAAATTGGAATTTCTTATTCTCCCACATCATCTGTGGAGGCCCCATTTCCTGTGTTCTTACCACTGGCTTGTGCCTGATATAATCCTTTGTGTTAAGCAGTGAGCTTATTCTGTTAATTGTTCACTTTTTGTGTGTTTGTTTGTGATTCAGTATCTCAGACATGAATTACCTAGAGGACAGCTAATTCACCCCCCAACCCTGAATCTAGAGTTGATAGGATAGAGCTGTGGGCACAGTATCTCGCTAATGCTCAGTAGTGTTGTGGAAGGAAAAGAGACCTCGGTTAGGAGTCTGGAAATCTGGGTCCTAGTCCTGGTCCTGTCACTACGGAGCCAGCAACCTCTAACAAGCCGTTCTGTTCTCTGCGTCTCAGTTTCCTCGTCTGTAAAACAGGAGGTTTGGAGCAGGCCACCCAAAGGCCTTTTCCAGCCCTGTGGTTCTCTCACTCTGAGGGCGGCTCTCTCCATGTGCTCTTGGCTGGGTTTGCCAGCAGCTGCGCTCCGACCCTGGGTGGTGTCCGGTGCCACTGCCCCGCCTTGCATCGCCTGGCCTGGCAGATCTTCTCCAGGCTGGAGCCATTGACCCCTCTCTAAAGGTCATAATGGGTACCTCTCTGTTTCCAGGAGGTTTAATTCGAACAAACAAGAATTGTCTCCATCTTAACACGCCTCTAGGAGAGGAGATAGCATGATCTCTCTCCAGTGCCTGAACAGCCTCCTGATCTGACGTAAACTACAGAGGCCACAGTAGACCCCGTGTGCTCATCTTCTTGACAGAACTGAAGAGAAGTCACTCAAAACCTCTGCATCATTACCTTTACATACTCCAAGTTGCCTCCCTGGCATAACCGTGGCACTTCTCTAGCTCATCCTCATAAGGATTCTCTAATCTTTTGTCAGCTCTGTGGTTCTCTGAGTCCTCATGGAAGTTTCTTTGTTCCTCTTAGCTTCTGGTGTCCAGAACTGGACACAATTAGGACGTACCACCCTAGGAAGGGCAGACAGTTGGATATATTTTTACTGTCAGCAGTTAGTGAGTGGCTCTGCATAGGTCCCCCCTAAGAGTTGGTACTTCTCACCTGGGCCAATGAACAATTAGTTATGGAGCCTTCTGTTTTACCAGCACTCTCTTGACTGGCATTCCTGACCAGTTACAGAAAGATGTCATTTATGGAGCATCTACTATGTCCCAGGCATTGTTCTAGGCAATATGACTTATTAGTGAACAAAACAGAAAAACAAAATCTCTGTATTCATGGAGCTCCTACCCTAGAGCTTCAGTATCCACTATGGAAGCAATTATCCAAATGTGGCTATTTACATTTAAGTTAATTAAAATTAAATAACATTTAAAATTCAGTGGCTTGGTCACACTATCCACATTTCAAGTGCTCACTAGCCACATGTGAGTAGCAGGTTCCATACTGAACCACACAGATTATAGAACTTTTCCATCATTGCAGAAAGTTCTGCTATAGCCTTGAGGTTCTAAAAATCCTGAACCCTGCTTTATGATTCCTCCATGGGCAAAATATACCCATAGTAACTTTAGTATTAACTGTATTCTCTTCTGTTCTGATTCTTTGAAAGTCAGGAGTCTCTAAACACCTTTTATAATTTTATTAACCAGAATATATGGTTAAATCAGAACAACACAGTCAGAAGGTGTCAGATAACAGATGAGAGTTTGTTATTAAGTGAATGAACAGTGGAATCTTGGGAAAATCTCTCAGGTTCACAGAACAGCAGAGCAAAAAGGATCTCAGAGATTATCAAGCGCAACAGTCTCATTTCATAGAGGTGGAAACTGAAGTCCCAAAAGATTAAGTGACTTCCCCAAGGTCACATTTAGCCAATGTGAGAGCCAGGCTTAGAATTCACAACTCCCGATTGCCGGTTCAGTGCTCTTTCTATGTCATCCATTCATTAATCAACAAAGAGTTATTGAGCATCTACTTTGTGCCAGACACTGCAGAATCCAAGATGAATAAGACCAGTGCCTGCTCTCACGAGTTTGCACCCAGAAAGGAGTCATGCTCAAATAAAAGCCAAAACATAACCCAGGATCACAGAATTATTAAGGCTGAAAAAAGATCTCCACTCTGTGCAGGGAGGATTGCAAAGAGGGAGGAAGTAGCTGTGCACCTTGGGACACAGGATCAGAGAAAGACACTTTCCCAGCTCCTTCCACCTTTCTGCACCAGATATGCCTTCTTCCTGAACTGTGTCAGGGGACTGAGACATAGGGAAGAGTGCAGAAGACCAGCAAGCACCCTGTTACTAAGCACCAAACTGGGCATAAAGAACAGAAGCCAAGGAAAGATGGAGACCCTGAGACAAGGTGCATCTCCAGGGCTCTGATACCAACTAACCTTCCTCCTCATGGACCTGCATTGCTGGGAACAGTGGTGGTCATACACTCTTCTCCTCCTCATCCTTTTCCTCTTCCTCCTGCCTCTGCATCTCTTTTGGAAAGATGTCAGAATAACCTTGCTAGTTTAAGGGTGAGGCTCCACTTTGGTGCAAACTTGCTTTTTGGTGATAACCTTTGTCAGTCCTGAGAACACTAACATTTCCACTTGGCGCAGAGCACAAGGAAGACATGTTCTCCCACAAAGCCTATTCCCACAATCATCTCATTGGTTGTTACGAACTCTGATGGTGTGCTTTTGAATTCTCCATATTTATTGAAATACCTTATTTTCACTACCAAGACCCCAGAGCCAAATAAGTGACTTTGGCACCTCAAAGGTGAGTTACTGATCAAGGGCATGCCCAGTTAAAAATAATACGACATTATCGGAACAGTGGGCTTCCCTTGTAAGAATCCACCTGTAATGCAGGAGACCTGGGTTCGATCCCTGGGTTGGGAAGATCCCCTGGAGAAGGGAAAGGCTACCGACTCCAGTATTCTGGCCTAGAGAATTCCATGGACTATACCCATGGGGTTGCAAAGAGTTGGACACAACTGAGTGGCTTTCACTTTCACTGGAACAGTGACTGAATAATCCAAGAGATTCATACCTTACTCTTAGAGTGGGGTAAAGGGGAGAGGGAGGATAAGGAGGAAGGTAAGAAGGGGGGTAAGGAGGAAAAGGGGACAACAGAGGATGAGATGGTTGGATGGCATCACTGATTCAATGGACATGAAGTTTGAGCAAACTCCAGGAGATGGTGAAGGACAGGAAAGCCTGGCTTGCTACAGTCCATGGGGTCGCAAAGAGTTGGACACAACTTAGCAAATGAACAAGAACAGAGTGGGGATTTGGCAGTAACATCTAAATGATCTTAGCAAAGGACAAGTCTTACAAAGGACAAGTCTAGCTGACAGTCTGCATAAGGGGGAAAGTCAGGGAGAAGGAGAGGATTGGGAACCAACACTTACTAAGTACCTCTTGGACTGCCAGGCTCACCATGGTCTTCTCAAATGCTCCAATGCTTTACACATATTACTTTCTGTAATCTTTCCAGAGAGCTCATGAGATGTATCTTACCCTCATTTACAGATAAGAAACTGAGATCCACGAAGATTTCATCACTTACCCCAGCTTCCATAGCTAGAAATCCGAGAAAAACTAGTCTTCCAATAATTGGTATATGTCCATGTTCTTTGCCTAGCTTAGTGTAGACTCAGTGAGACCCCAGAACTGAAATTAAGGTGAGATTAGTTCATTTTAAAATTTTTAAAAGGTATGCTAATAGAAGAATAACATTACTTTATCTCACCAGGATTCCAGTAAAAGCTTTGCTTTTTTGGTAATAGTGACAAGAGAGTTTTCAGTTATCATTACAATAACTGCAAGCTTTGTGTGTGGTGTTTTTTTCCCCTTGTTGAGAGACAGGAGTATTTGATCCCTCCAAGCAGGAAATATGCAAAAAGTCCCAAATGACATTTTCACTGTCATTTTGGTGCTGGTTCCTGGGGCCAGTTCCTGTGTTTGCCTGGAGAGACTCAGGGCAAGGGAAACTCACTCTGAATTCAGGTTACCAGGATGGCAGTGAAAGCAAAGCATGTCTCTTTATGAGGCTACCCTTTGAATGAAAGCTGAGTTCAGAGCCTAGCCATGGACTCCTGGATTGAATATTATGAGAGAAAAGCATAACTTCCTCTCTAAGAAATTGAGGATCTTAAAAATCAAACAGATTTTAACTCTTAGGGATCAGAGCTGACTGTGGATGAGACCAGGCATTACTTTGTGCAGCCTTACAGAAATGCTATGGGTGTTAGCTGGGGGAGGGTTGGGAAAAGGATAGAAAGGTTGAAGAAAGAAGCCTTTCAGAATCCCCCCCATGGAGGATGATTCCGTGGTCTAATAACCTCATTGTTTCCCTCATCCCTTGACAGTCTTTCTCAAATTTCCCTTAGATCCAATTGTCTAATTTAATGATAAAACTGTACTCTTTTATTTCTGGTTCTGCTCCTCTGGATTGCTCATAATGGCTCCCCAGCTCTGGACAGCAGACACATGGAGCCTTAAGATCATGCTTCCATGGCCCCCTCAGGTACTCAAGGGGTGAGTCAGAGCAGGGAAGTGAGGAGAGGTGAAAGAGCTTAGTGAGCAGTCGTTCCAAATGCTCTTGAGGCAGAAGGGAGATGGAAAGTCCCCACCAGGTCCCAGAGTTTGCACTTGGGAGCTCCCCAGGCTGGCCTGTAGCCCCAGTCACCGTCTCAGATATCGGAAGATAACCCCAAATGCACTATTGCTCCCAAATTCCAGATCTGATGATTCTCATCCAAAGGATGATTTACAAATCAATGACACAGTGTTAACTCTTGTCTCCAGCGAGTTAAAAGCCCTTTAGAACTCAATCCTCCTCAGTATTAATGGTAACTTATTCCCCAGCTGAATTTTGTGCTGAAAGCACATTAATTAAGTTATTCACACACCATTTGGTGTGCGGATTGTCTAACAAATCTCTTCTGTGATAGTGTGCTAAATGCTCCCGACAGGTCTTTATAATTTGAAAGAGTGACTGCACCTGTCCAGGTTCCTAATTTATACACCAGGAAGGACAGAGAACATGCTAAGGTCTCAAAGCACCCGTCAGGCAGGAGATGTTGTTTGCCCTATACCACTACAGGGAAACTGAGGCCCTGGGCAAATGATTTCTTCAAGGTCACAGAATAAGTCTAATCAAAGGTAATGTTCTAGCATGCCAACCCATTTAGAGCAGAAAGGGACCCTAGGGATGGTCTGATCAACATTTGATTAATATTGGAAACTGAAGCCCAAAGAAGAGATTTTTGCCAAGGTCAAGTAGGCAGAAAAGGCAGGTCCAGGTCTGTAACCTAAGGCCCCAGCTTTCCAGCTCAATGTTCTATCTTAGTCTACAAGGCACGTTTTGGCTGACTTTTATTGTCTTATTCTTCTTTTCTTTTATTTCATCCCAGAGCCACGAAATCCATTCATTCATTCAAGCACTTGCTCCCGCAGTTAGAGCAACGCAGATTACTCTAGTGATCTCAACAGAGGAGGCCTGCCAGCCAGGACCCTGTCCCTGGAGTCCGCCTCCAGGATCAGTCAGGCCCTGGCAGGTCTGGGGACAGGATGGTACCCGTCGCCTGCCTCCTTCCCTCCTCTGCCCTCCGCAGCTTTCCTCGTCCCCCTTGTCCTCCTCCCCCCTCCCGCCAGTCGGGAGTGGTATGTGCAGGATCAGAGTTCTGGAAAGGTTACACCCGGGTCCTCTCGCCCGGGTGAAATGTGAGCGCCCTGGGCAAAGGCTCCTTGCACATAGAAGGACTGAATCCGGGACTCCGCATGCCTCGTTCCTCACTGTCCTGCCACCAAGTGCTGGAGAAGCAACCCCAGCCCGCCCCTCCCCCGCCCACCTGTCGCCGCCCCCCACCCTTCCGCCCGGCCAGCCGCAGCACCTCCCCACCCCACCCCCCAACTCCGGCCACATTGCTTAGGGTCAGCGTCACAGACCAGGCTCCCGAAATAGCCCTCGGCTGGGGCTGCGACTCACCCACTGGAGAACTTTGATGAAGCCCAGCGGCTCCTCCAGCCGCCGCCAGCGCAGCCCCACGAGCAGGCGGTCCACCTGCAGAGACACAGCCCGCCCGGGGTCAGAGCGGTGGAGGACCCGGGAGGGCGCTGCCCCCTTTCTCCCACTCACTGCGGGAGAAGGGGCGGAATAAGGGTCGACCTGACACCCCGGTAGAGAAGGAGAGGCGAGAGGGAGCCTCAGGGGCGTGAGGGGAGTACCTGCTCGCGCGGCGACTTGTCCGCGGTGCGGCTGGAGCTCTCCGTCGAGGACATGCTGGCGCAGCGGGACCGGGGCGCGGCGCGGGGGCTGCGGGGACTGTGGTGGGGCTGAGGACTGCTGACCCGCGGCGCGGGAAGCGGGAGGTACCGGAGCTGCAGCGGCCGTCGGCCGCCCGGGATCCAGGCTGGCTGGGTGGGTCGCGGGGGGCGCTGCTGCTCGCGCTCTCCGAGGCCGCGGCAGCCGCTCTGCCCGGCCGGCTGCAGAAAGCCCCCGAGTCCAATTCAAACTTCTGTCAAACTCGCGAACCAACTTGGCAGCCGAGTCACGTGGCGCGCGCTCGCGAGCCCTCCTCCCGCCCCCTTAGCTCCCTGGTCCCTGCCCGCAGGACGCCTTAAAGGGACCTGTGGCCTCTGCGGGCAGTTCGGCCGCGAGGGGGCTCCGGTTCTTTGCCAGAACCTCCAGGGGTCAGCGAGACACCACCGCCACACCGACCCACAACCCAGGTGGGGAACTGGCCCGGCGCGCTGTCAGTCACCGGCTCCCAAGTTTATCTTTCCCAACTTTCCTGGATTTGGAGCTGCGCAGTGCCTTTCTTCTTCCTCAACATGATACTCAGAACCTAAAGCATTCTCGTCAAAGCATTATTATCAGTACTGAAATAAAATTCTAAAACTTCTGGTTAGCAAACTGCTTTCTCCCAAAATCTTCAAAGCCAGAACAGACGAAAAGGGCAATAGAAGATACCCAGTTTTTGCTGTCTAGTTAGGCGTGGCTTTAATTTTTTAACAGCAAAAACCATTCTTACCTTAGTGATTTGAAAGTTACGGATCACTGAAAAGTATAAACTCAGTCTCCTTTACAATAGCCACTGCCATTTAAATGAGAGTGAAAAATAGTCTTTGAGGAATGGAGAGGGCTCAGAAAATATACTGTGTCGAAAATTTGATGTTGTTACTTAGGATCCACCATAAATCGGTCCCTAATTTTCAAATTGGGTTCTGCACCAGCCGAATGAGTAATGATGCATATTACAGGTTTGGTTTACAAATGTTAAGTACTGAGAGGTTAAGTGATTTGTCCAAAGTCACTGAGTGAGCCAGTGGGGATGGGGGTGGGGCATAGTCAAAGAAACTGCCTTCACCTTCTAAAAATTGGCTGTAAATGTGTATGCATCATCTGAGTATCATTCCTGGAAGTCCCTTCTGGTACTTCAGAATGACTTTTGAGGGAACATTTAACTATTATTAATGCAATTTGTCCCCTCACTAAGTAAGTGCCTTCCAAGCAATGAAGGGGGTCAAGTCACCTGGGCTTGAAGAGAATTTCTCCAGTGGACTTCCATGCAAATCTAGGCTAAGCAAGGAACTGCTGAGTCCCCACTCATGTGTGCCTACATGCTCAGTTGTGACCGACTCTGTGGCCCTATGGACTGTAGCCTGCCAGGCTCTTCTGTCCATGGGATATCTCAGGCAAGAATACTGGAGTGGGTTGCCATCTCTTTCTCCAGGGGGTCTTGCAGACCCAGGGATTGAACCTGCATCTCTTGCATCTCCTGCACTGGCAGGTTGTCTTCATCACAGTGCCACCTGGGAAGCCCCCTCCACAATCCAGTTGTTAATAAATTATCCTGCAGTCTCAGAGATTCCTTTTCTACGGAATAGGTATAATAATTTCTGTCCTTATTTCATAAAGTGATCAGCAGCTTAAGTGGTATAAGGTGTGTAAATACCCACACTACACACATGAAACAATACACTTATTATCAATGTCAACAACAATATGCATGTGGAATACAATGCAATCAGAGAAGAATCAGAATAACACAGCAAAAATCCACATACTCACCAATCAGCCTTGTGAAATTTTAACACTCTTCCTCATTTGTCTCAAATCTATTCTTTAAAAACAAAATTAAAATTGCATGTAAAATTGAATCCCTGGGTGTACCCTCATATCATTCTCTCCCTTCTTCCTTGCTATAAGTAACAACTATCCCACCCTGCATTTGTTTTTAGTTAGCCTCATGTACATTTTAGTGCTTTATACATATATAAATATACATATATATATATGTATATATATATATATATATATATATACACACACACATGACTATACCTAGAAATAATACACATTCACCATACTATTGTTTTTCGGATTGTTTTAAACTTTATGTAAACAATATCATATTTAGTTATCCTGCCTCTGCTTTTTCTTTTTTTAACATAATGTTGTGTTTGTAAGAGTCATCTAGCCTGATGCACGTACTTTTAGTTCATTCCTTTTAGCTATAAGGAATTCCACTACATACACTTACCATATGTATTCACTTATTCTCATATTGATGGACATTGAGGTTATTTCCAAACATCTATTCTCACAAACAGTCCTGCATCACATGTGTACATATGTCCTTTTGCATCTGTGCCTATGTTGCTTCACAGCAAGACATTTTCAAACTTTTCTTTTTTAATACAAATGCTGGCAAGAAATACATTTTTATGTCATGATCCATGATATAAATGGAAACAAAAGTTTCACAAAAAGCTTTCATATTTTGTATTCCAGTTCATTAAAAAAAAATTCTGATGATTTAGAAGCAGATCCAGGTTTTGTGGGGACTAAAGTTTATACAATTTGGGCACTCTCTTTAGAAAAAGAATACAAACTTATGAATAAAAGTATATTAGCCAGGTATTGGAAGAAGTTTTGCAAGTGAAAGGTCCTGAAGCTTAAGCTTCATTAGTTTTAGGGTCCCTCTGAGTAGACACACTAGATTAATTTAATGATTCATTTATAATGATGGATCTCTACCAGCAGTTTGAGAAACATCACTATACCTAAAAGTGAGCTATCTGGGTCATGAGATGTGAACATTGCAATTCTGAGTTTTGATAAATATTTATACCCATGTAACCACCACCATGATCAAGATAACAAAAGCTTCCATCATTCCCAAGTGCTTCTTCCTGCCATTTTGCTGTCAATCCCGTCAACCACTGATCTGCTTTGTCATTATAAATTTGCTTTGCTTTTTCTAGGATTTCAGATCGATGGAATTATACAGTATATATTCTTTTGTGTTTGACTTCTTTCATGCTGCATAATGTTTTTGAGATTTATCCATATTATTGCTGCGCTTATCGGTAGTTCTCTCCTTTTTTGTTCCTGAGTTCCATCCCATCACTGTTTATTCACCTGCCAAAATACATTTGGGTTATTTGTACTTTATTTTTTAATATTATGAGTAGAGCTGCTAAAAAAACTTTTTTGTGCAGGTTTTTGAGTGAACGCAAGTCTTTATTTCTAGGGTAAATACCCAGGAATGGGATTTCTAGATTATATATCTAACTTTATATAAAACTACCAAACTGTTTTCTAGAGTGGGCTTACCATTTTGCTTTCTCACCAACAATGTATTCCAGATGCTCTGCATCTTCTCCAGAACTTGGTATTGTTAGAGGTTTTTTCTTAGCCATTGTTTTTTTCTTAGTCAGTTGTACCTTATTGCTGTTTTAATTTGCATTTCCCCAATGGTTAATGATGTTGAATATGATTTATGTGCTTATTTGCCATCTGTGTATCTTTGGCAAAGTGTCTGTTCAACTTCCTTGCCCATTTTTTAGTTGGGTTGTTTGTTTCTTAAATTAAGTTCTGAGAATTCTTTATATATTCTAAATGCAAGTCCTTTGTGATTTGGTAATATTTTCTCCCAGTCTGTAGTTTGTCTTTTCATTCTCTTAACAGTGTCTTTTCCAGAGCAAAAGTTTTACATTTTGGTGAAGTCTAATATATCTTTTTTAAAAAATGGATCATGATTTTGGCATCCTATCTGAAAACTCTTTGCCTAACCCTAGGTCACATATATTTTCTCCTATGTTTTATCCTAAATGTTTATAGCTATATGCTTTCCATTTGGATATTTTTAAACTTTTTTTTGGTATAAGATATATAATTTAGATCAAGGTTCTTTCTTTCTTCCTTCTTTCCTTCCTTCTCCTCTCCATCCACTCTTTCCAGGCATGTAAATATTCAGTCGTTCTAACATTTTTTGAAAAGACTATTCTTTCTCCATTTAATTGCTTCTGTGCTTTTGTGAAAAAAAAAATCAGTTGGTCATGTTTGTGTGAGTCTGTTTCTGGACTCTCTGTCTATTTTGTGTCTCTATGCCCTTGCCAGTACCACACTGTGTTGGATACTGTAGCTTTAAGGTAAATCTTAAAATAGAGTGATACAATTCCTCCAACTTTAGTGGTCTTCTTCACAATTGTTTTAGCTATTCTAGCTCCTTTGCCTTTCAAAATAAATGTTAAGATCAGCTTGTCTATATCTTCAAAAAATTCTGCTAGAATTTTGATTAGAATCACATTAAATCTACCTGCCTAGATCAATTTAGGAAAAATTGACATGAATTTTATGTTGCATTTTTCAATCTATAAACATGACATGCTTCTCCATTTATCTAGGGCTTCAATTTCTTTCATCAGCATTTGCAGTTTTCAGCATACAGATCATGTACATGTTTTGGCAGATTTATTCTCAACTATTTAATTTGTGAGAGAAGCCATTATAAATTATATTATTTTATTTTTTTAAATATAATTTTAAATTTAAGTTTCCTTTTGACAATTGTTAGTATATATAAACATGATTGATTTTGTTTCTGTTAATGTTGTATCCTGTTACTTTTCTAAACTCACGTTTTAGTTCCAAGAGTTTTTTATAGGTTCCTTGGGATTTTCTATGTAAACAGTTATATCATCTGCAAATAGAGAAAGTTTTATTTCTTCCTTTATAAACTGTATGCCTTTTATTTATTTTCCTTGTCCTACTGCACTGGCTAGGACTTCCAACATGATGTTAAATAGGACCGATGACAATGGACATCATTGCCTTGTTCCTGACCACAGGACAAAGTATCCGGCTTTTCACCATTTCATGTGATGTTAACTCTATATTTTTTATAAATGCCCTCATCAGCTTGTGTAAGTTTTTTTCTATTTCCAGTTTGCTGAAAGTTTTTAATCATGGATGGATGTTGAATTTTATCACA